TAAACGTAGTCAATTCACTGTTTACTCCATCTGTAACTAAGATATTGATATCCTAATGTAAAGCAACTAGTATCCCTTTATTTTCTGCAAGCTGAGGTCTAAGAAAAAAGAAAGCCAATTGTTCTGAACTGTTAAGCAATTACCTGATTTCCATAAACTCTGGATATCTGTTCTAAACTACTCTTTCCTGTCTTCACCTACAAGAACTCGGAAAAAGGGATAAAATGATCCTTCCATTTTTAGATACTATAGCATGAACAACAAGTCGGATAAATTAGACGGGCAATTACAAACTTACCCCTGATTTTATGAACTCCTCTGCAGCGTAAACAGCGTCACTTCCTATGGAGATCTTATCAGCACCGGATCTGAAATACTCAGCAGCAACTTCCAAGCTAGAATAGTACCTGAGTCAAAGTAACTTGATATTAAATTGTTGTAGAGAATAAAAATTGCAAGGTCCTTGCTGAAATAAAAAAGAACATAATGCTTGCACAGACATGTTCACAGAAACATGCTGAAAAGATTAACATGTACCTGCCACTAGCATCTGTAAAGTCTCTAATACCACCTCCAACAGTTAGTGGTACAAAGACATTCTTTGATGTGTGCCTCAACACCTATAAAGTATGAAAAGTGATCTAAATCGGAAATTACAGGGAAGGTGCGGAAGTAAGACTTAAATTCTACTGAGAACGGAAAAATTTTAGGTACCTGAATCATCGGCAAATCCCCTAGAGGAAAATCGCGGAATCCAGTGATGTTTAAAAAGCTAATCTGAAAACCCACAAGCAGCACGGTAAAGCGCCAAACCAAATCTAGAAAAAGGTGTCTTGGAGCCATTCACATAATATTGCAAGGAGATCATATACTGTCAAAGTATACCTCATCTGCACCATCTTTGTAATACTGCCCCGCCAAATCAACCGGTTTGCCAAGGTTTCGAACCTGCGCAAGAAAAAGGAATGAATCCAGAGCATTGTTACAGACGTTAATAATTAGCTAAACCCAACAGCTTTAAGGTAATATAAGGACGTATCACAAAAACATCCAAATATCAACAATGTTTTATATTTTCACAAAGAACACATCCCAGGATATGACATTTAAGCAACAATTTTCAACAAACCTCATTTTCATTAGATTGCTCTCTCACATCATACTGATCCCCTTTAGTAACTACGAGATCTCCTTTATCATTCGTCCTCACATCAAGACAAGCAATCACCTAAAGAAAAACAAAATATTAATAGAAAAACTCCCTACCAGAATAGTTAAGAGAAAAGACAGCAATGTTGTAGAGGAGACAGACTTCCAATGATAACAGGACAAACTTATTACCCTCTTTGCAAGTTTTGAGGCCTTCCCTTCCATTGGCTTCTGTCTTCAAGTGAATTGTGGTTTCCATTAGACACCAAAAAATCAGGAATTACATTGTACATGTAAGGCTAGAGTGAAATCTACCTGTGTTGCAGGTAATTTTGGATGCAAGAACCTTCTCAAAACAGAAAGCCCCACCTCTGAATAGTTCCAGATTCAGAATTAGTACGATACCAAATATGAAAACAGACTCTGAATAAGAGAAAAAAGATGTCAACAAAAAATTGACTAGACTATCATACCCCCGCTCTTCTCAGGATGAAACTGGACTGCATGCACATTTCCCCTTCTTATGGAAGATATAAATGATTCACCATAATTGCAGGTAGACGAAATCCAGTCCTTATTTTCATCTGACTACAGAAATTATGGAACTATAATTATCACATGCATGTAGAAGAAGAGAAAGACAATATGGTACATATACGAAAATGAAAGAAAAAAAGAAGAGATTATTTAGATCCATACTGGAATGGCCCGGTACGAATGAACAAAATATACATGACGATTTCCAACATCATCCAAAATTTCAGAATCCTTCCCCACTTGCAACGCATTCCAGCCAATGTGGGGTACTCTTATACCAGCTGAAGAATCAAAGCGTCCAACTATTCCCGGTATCACGCCAAGACCTTTGACTGGCAAAAATATACACCATGAAAACACATACTATCATAATGTAGATCATGTTGAAGGAGAGATTCCTGAAGAAATAATATGAAGAAGGGGCAATCGAGCTAAACCTGGTCCATTCTCCTCACTAGACTCGAAAAGTAGTTGTAGCCCAAGACATATGCCGAGAAAGGGACGGTCATTCTCAATATATGTGCACAAAGCTTCAGCCATCCTGCAAACGTCAAAGAACCAAAATCGTATATGAAGAATTAGAGAAGACATGTTCATTGTAAGTTTTATGAACAACTCGGAATGAAAAGCACTTAAAATTATGAGTTAAGCATGAAATGTGGTTCCAAATTTGCTACAATTAAAAGACCTCTCTAACCTCGGACAGTAACAAGTAAGCTACTTCGAGCAAATTGATAACATACAATTAATCAAAGAGAGAAATCCACAGAGCTTAGTAATAAGTACCCAGTTTTGTTAAGTACATCCATGGCGGGTGCAAAAGCTCCAACGCCGGGAAAGATGAGGCGATCAGCATTCAGAATGTCTCCCGGCGTTTGAACCTAACATTTCAAGTTCCCAAATGTAATCACTTTCATATCATTCTTTCCCTAACGACGCATAAGAGATCACTACATTTCCCAGAAATAAAATTGGATTCAAAAGCCTACGTCTTTGATGCTGAACCCGAGATGACGAAGAGCATTGCGGATGCTTCGAACATTCCCAGCTCCGTAGTCAAGCAAAGTCACTGCTACGCAACAAAGAGACAGAGTAAAAAAAACAAAGCTTCAGCATAAAAAGACTAATCAAAATTTTAGTATAACAGGGCAAAATAAAACAATAGCAAATACCAGAATCGGAGGAAGAAGATGCACGGACGGAGAGGCTTCTGGGAGATTTGAATTTGCGATTACCATTGCCAATGTTCTTCTGGAAGAGGAATAAAGAAGCCGGAGAAGAAGCGCGAATCGAAGAAGATGAAGGAAGGTTTTGTCTGGAAGAGACAATTGACGAGAATGGCGCCGCCGTAGCCTCCATTGATATCAAACTCACTCACTGCTTCGATTGCTAATTCAAAAGGTCGTCGTCTCTCGTCACTTTGTCAACACTTCACTGACGACGTCGTTTTCCCTCGTGTAGCGTTGTTATGGGCTTTTATGAACTTCTCTTAAACGGACATAACGGGCTTGGGCTTCATTTGACTTTTACAAGAGTGAGTATTTTAGATCCCATGCTCTAGTTATTTATAACGGATAAAAAAGTGGTTACTAAAATAAAATACAAGTTATAGAAGAAACAAAAAACTTACAAGTTATGTATACGGTATACCATACATAGGAGATACATGTCTCTTAGAAACAACAACAGCAAAATATTATTTCAAACACCAGTTTGAATTTGAAGTGAAATTAAATATTGGAATGGATAAGGGCTTAGGGTCTATGTAGTACACCAACTCCAGCCATCCAATGCAAGGCATGAAAGATGAGCAAAACAAAAAAGGACAAAATAAAAGGTTTACATATGATATTACTATTATTGAGTGTGTTTGCCAACAATAACTCTTCCCATCCTTTTTCTCAAGTCAACTCTTTTTAATACATCTTCTATCTGAATCATTTCTATATAATGATTTCGTAACATGTTCTAGTTCTTACAAGACATTTATATTACATCGTACATAAATTGAAATTTTGATGTAGGTTTTTGGATCGGTTGAATTAATATATTTTGGATTGGAGAACATCATAACATGTGCTTTGTGTAGGTAAACTTAATAACCTTTTTCACCATAGAATTTAATTGCACTAGTTGTGGATATTTGTGTAATGTTGGGATGAGGTGGTCAAATTTGGGCATTCACCGGCCCTTGCTACTATCAACAATTCACAAACCACTACGCAAGGCCGGCTCTGAGTCCAGCAAAGTGACACATAGGCTTAGGGACCCCATAATTTCCAGTTGTTTTTATTTAAGAAATAGGCTCCAATTTTATAATTTTTTTTGCAAAAGAAGCCACCAATTTTAAAAACCTTTAAACTACTCTAAAATTTGTTTGGGCCTCCAAATTTCAGGACCGGCCCTGCCACTACGAAAATCAAAAGATAGAAAAAAAATGAGATGACAAGTCATTTTGGTATGTTATGCGTTTGATGAATGTCATCAGGACGTCATCAATGAGTCATCAATCATCAGCATCAACTCTTAAGTCACAAAGAACTTATTTCTACCTGTGATCAGTTTTCATTTTGTAGGTAAACTATATTATATGTTATGCGTTTATGAATATTAAAGATATTGGCAATGAGATGGTAAGACAATGGTTTGTATATTATTATTTTATTTTATTTTGTAATATTATTAGCTTACAACAGTTCAGATCAATATGTTTTAATGATTTAAAAGGAGACATATACTTAAATATAAAATAATCAATTCAAAGTAATTGTACTATACATAATACATTTATACAAGTGAAAGTGATTTAGAGCTTTTGTCGACCAAATTAAAGATATTATTCTATTAAGTGGTGTTCTTAAATTGTTGTATTTGGATAAGTACGGGAAGAAAAACATAATTTATGTTTCAACAAATTTCCACAAACGGTACCTAATAAATTGTACGGCATTGATATAAACTAATTTGTTTTGTTAGGTATCGGTGTCAAAGTAGGAATGTTCTGCTCCAATGATCATGTATATAGAGTAGAACTATCAACTATCAAGACCGACGAGATTGTCAGTGTCGGTGTATGTGTGCTTTTAGATTTCAGACGGTGAAAGTTGACGAAAGTGATTAGTCCAGTTTATTTACTTCTTCAAAGATGTATTTTAGTAAGTAAACGTGGACTTTGATTTTGTACTCCCCCAAAGAGTCGTCTGCGTTCACATAACGGGGTCTTATGCGGTTTAGGTAAACACACAAGAATTTGTATTGAAATGACTTCGCCTCTAGATAATTGTTGGACCAAATACAGATTGAATTCGTCTATTGTCAATCTCATTGATTTAAGCTCCAACAAGACAAGTTGAACAAAAAAAAAAAAGATATAATTTGAATTGTCTTACACAGTCGTACGTATAATAGTAATCGTTAGCACATACCCTAACGGCTAACGCATATGTTGCATAGGAAAGATTGAGTAATGTATTTACATATTCTTTAATTTTGAACACATGGGCATTGTTCATTGTTTCATAAGACTTGGTTAGTGGATTAAAAATGAGCTTGCAATTTGGAAAACAATTATTTTTTTTAGTATGAAACAAATTCTTTATGGATACATTTTTATCTTCATCACTAAAATAATAAAATGCAATTAAATTTCCTTGAATAGCAACATTAGAGTAGAAATTATTAATGATGTCGTCAGAGGAATATTCCGAGAACAAGCTGTCTTGATTCGAAATCCAATCTTCATCTTCTTCCATCGACGACGTTGTTTCAACGCAAATCACGTCATCGTCGCCGTCGCGTTTCTCGGTTTCTTCATATTCATCGCCTCTCACTTGAATCCATCCGTCGTCTTCTTCAGTAACCCAATCGGGTAAGCTTAAAAATTCATCTCCGGCGAGTTTCTCGATCCGTTTAGCCGGTGAACCCCAAGATTCCGAGTAATCAGCAAAAGGGTCTTCGTGATCCATCGAAATTAAGTGAGTTTTCGAGGTTTCGCATGAATCCCAGAATCGTTGATCCAACACTGTGCTTGGAGAAGAAGTCTTGTTCTTCAAACAATCGCTTGTCTGAGATTCTTCTTCGTCGTTGAGAAATGAATGTTTAAGCAATTCTTCCACAGTCCATCTCTGTTTTGGATCTTCCTTCAAACAATTATTCAAAAAGTCTTTAGCTTTCTCCGATATCCACCCAGGAATCTCCGGCGACTCACCAGAGAATCCAATCTTATACATTGCAGCAACGACGTCGTTTAGCTCCGGCCAAGGATTTGATCCAGTCATCATCTCGATCACTGTACATCCCAAAGCCCACACATCAGCCGGAAACCTCTGTTCTTCACCACGAGCAACTTCTGGCGCCATAAACGCCGGTGTACCGGAAAATCCCGACTTGCCAACTGATTTAGCACATCCCATATCGGCGATTTTCAAAACGCCGTTTTCCTCAACCAGAACGTTCTGGCTCTTCAAGTCGCAGTGAACAATCCCTCTCTCGTGAAGATACACCAAACCGTTAAGAATTTGACGCGTGTGTGATCTTATCTCCGGCTCCGGCAACTTCCCGCCGGAATTTTTGATTAAATCGTGAAGACTCCCGCCGGAAACGTACTCCATCAGTATATTGTACACCAATCGATCGTTCTCGTACGTTAAACCAGAGCCGATGTACTTGACTATGTGAGGAGAGCTCAATGTAGACAAGAATGATTGCTCTTTCTGCAAGAACGATGAAGAAGATAAGTCGGCAGATTTAACGGCGAAGATCTCACCGGAGCTTGAGATTGCTACTGAGACAGTGGCGGTGGAGCCTCGACCGATGATTTGTCCTCTTTTCCAATTAATCTCCATTGGAACAGAGCAAAAAACAGAGAAGAATTTAGGGAGTGGGGGAAATTGTTGGGACTAAGGTTTTTTTTTTTTTGACTTGAGATTTGTTTAAGCAAATGGCTTAGAAGAAGCTTATATATATATATATATAAAAGAATTATGTATTTTTGTGTGTGTGTGTTTAGGGTATGTAGAAGTGTGTGTATGTGACTTTGGCATGGGGCTTTGGTTCAAAGTCGGAGAAGACATTCTTTATTCTAAGTTCTTGATTTCTTCTCCTCCAATTATGAAGCGCCATTACTTTTAGCTTATCTTTCACTTCTCTATTTTCAGATAAATTATTTTACTATTTGTTTACTGTTTACAGCAGTTTAATCTATATGAATTATTGTGACAAGCGTCACTTAGTTTGAGTTTTGGAAATATTTATGTAGCATGATTCATTTCATACCAAGGACAACTATACTTAATAGAAAATATATAGTACAAATGGAAACTTAAGTATATGGTTTTACTAATTATTTTGAAGTATATATAGTAGAGTATACTATCCCAACATGAGGATGCTGATAATGCGTTCACTGCAATATATCATCATGTGAGTGCAAAGTCCTCAATGTTGCAAACAGCTGCATGTTAAGTGATCTGCATTAATTTATTGTGTAATACTTAATTGAGAAGTTTGTTTTGAATTTAATTGCATTGAACACACTAACCACACATATACGTTTTTGGAAACGCACTGATCAAGTCTGGTAAGCATTTTTTGTGTGGCAACAATATAAAAGTAAATGCGTGAAACAAGCACGAAGCCAGAGTGGACGGCGCCGTTACTTCAATCTCACGTGACGGAGGCGCGTGGATCAAATCAAGTTTCAGACCATTTCAACGTGGGAACGGGATTAATTCACTCTACTTAGAAAAGGATTTAAGTAACTGATCAAAGTTTAAATTTTAATTATTTGTTTATGAGGCTGTAAAGTAAAAAAAAAAATGTGTGGTCGAATCACAAATGTGAATGCAAGTGATAATGTCTTTAATTAGAATGCAAGCTGGGAATATTTATGGGAAAAATGTCGTTAAAATCCCCAACTTATTCAAAACGTTGATTTAAATCCTTAACTCATGACGAAACGAAATAAATATCAAATTTATGTTGACTTTCCAAATAAATATTAAACTTATGTTGACTTTCCAAATAAACACCAAACTTTCATTAATAAATATCAAACTTCCGTTGACCTGACCATATTAGGTACGACGTTAAGTGGGTTAATAAATCTTCAACTCATAACAAAACGAAATAAATATCAAACTTATGTTGACTTTCCAAATAAATATCAAACTTATGTTGACTTTCCAAATAAATATCAAATTTCCGTTGACCTAGCCATATTAGGTACGACGTTAAGTGGGTTAATAGATCTCGTTAACGGAGGTAATTTTCTGTTAACATATGTGTTAATTGATAACGACATTGTTTCATATAACAACAAAACGACGTCGTTTTGTCGTAACGATTGAATTAAATCCCTAAAATCAATCTTAGATCCCCAAATCGAGCAAAATCCCTAACCCTAAATAGAGTATGATTTGAAACTCGGGATTTTATTGAACAGTTATGACAAAACAACGTCGTTTTGTGTTTAGAAGGAATACTTGTTAGTATTTTGATCAACACTAACAGGTGTTAACATTGTTTGTTAACTCACTTAACGTCATGCCTAATATGGCCAAGTCAATGAAAGTTTGGTGTTTATTTGGAAAGTCAACATAAGTTTAATATTTATTTGGAAAGTCAACATAAGTTTGATATTTATTTCGTTTCGTCGTGAGTTGAGGATTTAAATCAACGTTTTGAATAAGTTGGGGATTTTAATGACATTTTTCCCGAATATTTATTCGTCTTTGCTTTTTGCTCCGAGGATACAGTTGGATTTCAGAGAGTTTACTTTTTCTTTTCTTTTTTTCGGTTATGGAATGTGTTTAATAATAGACTTTAATATATAGTTTGTGAAATATAATAGTAATAATAATATGGGAGTTTTTGGGGTTGGATGGAAAACGCGGATTCATGCATGTGATTTGGACAAAATGCGTGTCTAAGATTGAGTGTATAATGTGTATTTATTTAACGGCAAGATTAAGTGTATAAGTGGAAAACTAGGGAAAAACATTTTAAAATTATGAAAACAACGCGTATATCTTACTTACTATTTATGTTGGTATTTATGTTAGGGTCAGTTATTCATGTGACTTCTTTTAAAAAATTGTGAAGAAAAATTTGATAGGTTTTTTTGTACTTTTTACTGTTAATATACTTTACTATATATGGCGACGGGTTTATTATTAGTAAGATACTAATTAAGCTATGAAGATGATTCATATTACTGAATTTCAGGCGTAGAATACACAAAATGAACTAATTTGAATTGTCTCTTAGATCATCTGTCGAAGTAATGACAATGTGCTTTCGAACAAAACTGATAAATTGCGGTGTAAAAACTAGAAACCAAAATATATAAACTGTGAACTGATGAGAAAATTAGCTAAAATCACTGAGCAAAGGGACATATATATTAAGATAACTCAGACTTGCTGCAGATTCCTTACTAACCACTAAACTTTGCGGCATAATTTTAAAATAAAGTGGAATAAAGAAAGATATGAGAAAGAAGGGTTAGTTGCATCAACATAAGCATATTGAAGAGAACTTAGCAGACAGATTTTTTCATAAACTAAGTTTAGCTTACTAAGCTATGATTATAAACTATAATAAGCTCTTGAAATTAAATTTCTTGTTCGGTAGGAGATTTAATCATTATATCAAGCTAAAATTCTAGAAAGAACAAATGGGCTAATGTAAATACAGTTATAGTATACTACTATTGGGCCTTGAGTTTAGAAGTCAGTTTTTCTGTCTAAATTGGTTAAAGTGAAGGGTGGGGGAAACCCAGTTTATAATGTTGGGCATCAATATGGGCCTTTAAGCCAGTCTTTAGATTTCACTTCACATGATAGACTTGAAATAATGGAACCTTCAGATTTATTCATAATGAGAGGTACATGATCAACAAAACTATTGTTTTTTTCTTTTTTGGCAAACAGTTTTTGCTTTGTTTAAATAACATTAAAATGTTTACACATCCTTCGTATCCGACTAGCTAGGAAAAGTATACCACTCACTATACGCGTGGTATAAAACTTCATTATAGGTTGAGTATGGGCGTGTTCGTTTTGTTGTGTTCTTCTCTACTAAATACAAATCCAGCGACAACCCTCTTTTTTCCTTTGAATTTTGTGTTGCCGATGTGTGCCGCAGCGACACTAAAACGAACACGCCCTATATTAACACAAAAATAGAAAAATCAGAAGACTGACGTATGGTATAATTAGTAGAGGTCAAAATACAGCCAATAGGAGAATGACGTTGACTTTAGTGACGTACAGTTGAAGTGTGTATTGTGTAACAAGAGAGAAGAGTTGACCATGCATTTGACTTCTCGGCTTGCATCACTCTTATATCTTCTTAAGTTGTTTTCTGAAATTTAAATCTTTAACAGATTGTAATATTTAAAATTTGTCATAACTGAGAAACTAAATTTAAAATTTTAAAACTAATATATCTAATTTCTTATTAATGAATTATATTATTTTTCATTACTCCTCGTGTTTTTGTTCTTTTGATCAATTCAAACATTTGATATTACACACCAAAACTGATTTGTATAGTATTTATGTTATATATGTATATACAAAGATACTTAATAAACTCGTCCTTCTCTCTCTAATCCTAAAAAAACTCTCTCCCTTCTCTCTTAAAAAAATAGCCGCCGTTGTGTTTTTTTTTTCGGTTCCGGTGGCTTCCACAGCACTAGAGCCGGAGAAACTCTTCTCTAGTCTTGTTTTATCTCTTTTCTTTAGTACATCCATGTTTTTCTTCTAACGGAATCAGATCTAGTTTTCCAGATCTAGGTTTTTAAAACTTAAATCTTTTCATCCTTGTGTTCTTGCTGTTTGGCTCTTTTGTCTCCGCCTTTCTCAGCTTCCGATTTGGCCGTATCTTTCCTTGGCAGAGGCAGTCTTCAACCGGTTCTTCACTGCCTCAGATGAAGAAATTTCACCTTCGTAGATCTAGATCTTCTTCCTTTCTTCAAGAGACGATCCTTGAGTCTCTAGGTTTTTGATGTGTCTCACCGCCTCCGTGGCTCCTCTCTGGAGCATTATAAAGAGGATCGCACGACACTTTCATTCGGTTCCAAATTGTGGTAAAAGAGATTCTTGTACTGTAACCCGTTTGTGTGTTTTTCTTAATCTCAGATTTGATTTAATTTTTTAAAGTTTAGGTTTTATAATTCTTTTTTTGGGATTCTAGCTAGATTCTGATCCGGGAAGTATTGATGGTTGTAGTGTAGTTGGTTTGTTTGGGTTTTTTCTCCTTTGTTTACCTTGTTTGGTCTTTGTCTCTGGGAGTGTTCTTGTACTCGCCAGCTTATGTCTCCAGAAGTGTCTTATACTTGCCGGCTCATGTATTTTATCTTGAATCTTATCAATAAAATCCTATTGACGAAATATATATATATAAAGATACTTAATAGCGCATACACGACCTATTCGAAATGAGTGGCAATACAAAAACGTGAATGATGAAATTGAGTCAAAAGCTAACAACCATTTCGTGTCAAGAAGAGCGTATATATGGTAACTTTATCTTTTTGAATCTTACAATAGTCAACGTAACCATGCATATGCACATTCTTTTCTTCTATATAATAGTATATTTATTTTTTCGAACCTATATAATTAAAATTTCATATTTCGTGTAGATTGCTGGCTGATTAAGTTTACAAGGAGGAACGAGTTATATGATACACTCGTTAAAGCTGGCTTGTCGAATAAATTTGCGTATATTAGAAATAGAAATCAATGTTTCTTGGCTCTCACAACCAATGAAATCAATTTTAGGAAAAATAATTAAAGGGATAAATTAAAGAAATGGACGACTTTGCTTCTCCGTTCAACTCGCCTGAATTGCCTCAGGTCGTCCCATGGGGCTATGGATTCATTCATGTCTATGTAAATCATCTCTTGCGGTAAAAATCCATTTCGTTTGCTTTTATATTTGTTAGTGTATGTGTATATATATTTAAAGGCGTAACGCACGCACCATATGCCATAGCAATGTGCATGCACACAGCTCTATTCCTGTTTCCTTTCTACTTCAAATTTTTATCTTCAAGAAAACTAATCATAATCAAAAATATATATAAAAAAAGTTAAACGGAAAAGATCTAATCACCTTTTTCTCCGCATATCCTGCGTCAACTACTCGACGACAACTATATAAACCCTAAGTCCACATCTCCTTACACCAATCACAATCTCTCTCTCACTCTTTCTAACAAGAAAAAAAAGGAAGAACAATCTCCCTCTCTCTCGAACCCAAAAGCACAAAAAGAAAATGGCCCTCATGAAGCTACTCGTGTCCATCGCAATAACAACCGCAATCACAATCGCAGTCATCACAACCAGAACCAACACTACAACCACCACCATTAGAGAGTACACAAGCTTTGATGCACTGAGTGCGCCGACTATAAGGCCGAACCGGTTCCTGGCTCAAAAGGAAGTTGGCGAGCGAAACCCTAACGCCGCGGACCATTGCACAAGAACCCTGAGATATGTACCCTATATGGAGGGGGAGGAAGCAACTCGACGATGACATGCTGCAACAACAAGTGCATAGACGTGGCCAGTGACAACGATAACTGTGGCGCGTGTAAGAACAAATGCAAGTTCTCACAGACGTGTTGTCGTGGCCAATGTGTTTACGTGGCTTATGACAAACGCCATTGTGGACAGTGTAACCATCCGTGTGAGCTCGGCGAGTTATGCGTCTACGGTCTCTGTAACTACGCGTGAATGATCGATCCATCACACGAGAGCGAGGGGGTGTATATTACATTATATATTACACAAGAAACTAAAGCTAATTAAAAGTTTATTACTCTTTTATTAAAAAAAAAAAAAGAAAGAGAAGAAAAAAGACTCTAATACATACATATATATACAGATTGAACAATTATGTACTACATGGTACATGGATGATGATATGTCCAATTAATAAGTGGTGGGTGTAATTTTGAATCCCATAACGTTTATATATATTAAAAACAATTTTGATTTTGTTTATACAGTAAAGATTCCAATAATCTCGTGAAATTATGACTATATGTCTCTCTGGCTATTACTTGGAAATTTGATAAAACGAAGATAATACTAATCGACGAAATTAGTATTGAACGTGTGGACCGTGAATTATCCAATGAAAGGCCATAAACTAAATTACGTGAAAAAATTGTGGCCCGACATAATATTATTCCCGAAAAAGCCCAAATTGCTGCAAGGCGTCTCTAGCGAGTGGCGATGGCAGCTCCTGCGGTGGAGGCAACCGTCGCAACTGCTCTCCGCTCTGTGATTCTGAGGGCTCGGAAGGCGGCGGAGCAAGTTGGAAGAGATCCCGAGCGGGTCAGGGTCCTTGCAGTCTCCAAGACTAAACCCGTCTCACTTATCCGCCAAATCTACGACGCAGGTCACCGTTGCTTCGGCGAGAATTACGTTCAAGAAATCATCGATAAAGCTCCACAGGTTCTTCTCTCCTATCCTTGTTATTGAATCTAATTTTCATATGCTGATTTTCACTAGGGAATATATTTAAGCTCGAAACTATGTGTCTCTCCATTTTCTGGGAATTCGTCATCTGATATTTTGTGTTGGTTTTGTGCTTTGATACTAATGCCAATGGAGATTCTCCTTTACTTTGTTTGATATACAGCTTCCGGAAGATATAGAGTGGCATTTCGTGGGGCATTTACAGAGCAACAAAGCCAAAACGCTATTGAGTCTGACTTTTTGTCCCCATCTTTAATTAAATGAGACTCTCCAAGATTCTTTTGATTTAGGGGTTAAGTGAAAGTGAAAGTCTTTTAATCCAATGCTTGCAGCTGGAGTCCCAAACTTGGCAATGGTTCATGGTGTGGATGGAGAAAAGGTAACTTCACTCACTGTATGATAGGATTCGTCAATGATTACCAGAAAACTCAGATATGTAGATGTTCTGTGAGATAGTCTTGCTATCCCTATGCATAGCTTATTATATAGATCAGAGGTTGTTGTGGCGTTTAACTTGCACAATTCATTTTACTAAGAGGTTTTGGTTGGATGTTATTTTGGTACAATCACTTGGTATTGATTTCACTCGAATCACAGGTGGCTAACCATCTAGATCGAGCTGTTTCAACCCTTGGGAGACATCCACTTAAGGTTTTGGTCCAAGTTAACACAAGCGGAGAAGTTTGTGAGTATATTACCACTCTAAGCTTCCATTCTCCGGCTTCATCCATTTGCTAACCGTTTGTTCATGAAATTAATGCAGCTAAATCTGGAATCGAACCTTCCAGCGTTGTAGAGCTAGCAAGGCATGTGAAACAGCACTGTCCAAATCTGGTATTCTCCGGGTTAATGACTATTGGGATGCCTGATTATACGTCTACTCCAGAGAACTTCAGGGTATGCTACTGAATCTACTCGATTGGATACTTGTTTTCCGTGTTCTCAGGTTATGTCTACAACTTTTACTTACCAAGGTTTATTCTTTCCCCCATAAACCGGGACAGACACTTTCAAACTGTAGAGCTGATGTATGCAAGGCACTTGGAATGGCTGAGGATCGATTTGAACTGTCGATGGGCATGTCTGGTGACTTCGAGCTAGCGGTAATGTCTTTGTCTCTCTTGTAATACCGGAGATGCAAACAACTTAATATAGAATCATTGAATGTGTTCTTACTTTCATCCGCGGAACCAAAAATGTGGAAGATGATCTTTGACTGTGTTTCTTTGAACTTATGTAACTGCAGATTGAGATGGGAAGCACCAATGTGAGGGTTGGTTCCACCATTTTTGGACCAAGAGAGTACCCCAAAAAAGCAACTTAGCTACTATTTCCTCAAACAGTTATAGTAAAATTCATGTATAATGTTATTTTGTCGACTATTAGAAATATAATTATTCGTTTGTGATAAACTGATGTGTATTCACAAGTTACTTTATAGAAATCAATACATTGCTAAGGGCTCTGTATAGGGTTTTCACTAAGTTGTCTTTTTTTCCTCTGACTGATTGGCAAATGACTTTGCACAAGATATATAGAATTACTGATTGGCAAATGACTTTGCACAAGATATATAGAATTTGCAACACCTGATATTTGCATTTTGATATAGGACTTGTTCTCTCGAAATTGATGTTTACAGACGCATGAGTTATTGGGAATTTGAGACTTAGTGGTGTACCAATAGCATCTTAGCTTTCATGGTTACGAAGAGGCTTGATCAAACTAGGATCCGTTACTTGCACTGACTACCACCGGTCCACCGCCGTAACTATTCAAATCTTATATGCAATACTAATTCGAATTACATATCGAGGTCTTAAAACATGATAAATGGTTGTTTAAAGAAAAAAAAAACGATAAATAAAACAAATGGTGATGGAAGGAGGGACGTACAATCGTAGTCGTAGAGACTGCCAAATAAATACCGGACCACTATTATGTGGTTCAAGAACTATATCCTTTTCTTAGATTCCGAATCTTAACCTCTGTATCTTAGAGCATGATTAACAGCAATATCTTAGAGATATCTTAGTATTAAAGTTGATTAAATATAATCAAACCAACAAAATTAATCTAAGATTTATATCTTAGGTAAGATGTTTTTGTTGGTCTAAGATGTTCATACGTGTCAGTATCTAACATGTTAAAAAAACAAATAAAAGGAGAATTTTTTTTTTCTCCCGTGTTTTCTTTCTCCAAGCCAAGCGATTTCACATCTCTCTCTCTCTCTCTCTCTGTTTTGTAAACGCCGACGATTTAAGCTCTCCGACGGTCTTGTTCCGTCGAATTGAGAGTAGCACTTGAAAGGAATTTCGTGTTTGAGCAGTCGTTATGTTCACTCTTCGATGTTGTCTCACTCTCCCTCAAGTTCTTGAAACTTCCGCCGGAGAAATCTCTATCAATCGGCTTCCTCCGTCGAATAGAGAGGTTAATTGAGTGGGGATTGCAGTTTTGATCCGTCTGTATCATCATCTGCGGGATAAATGGTATGTAACTCTTTGATTTCACTTGTAGATCGAAAATCAGGGTTTTAATTATGCTTCGAAAATTAGGGTTTTTCACAATTGGAAATTGACTGTATCAAAATTAGTGTTCTCTGATGTTTGCATGTCGTTTTCAAACCAAATTAGGGTTGGGTTTTGTTAGCAGAAAGTTTTATAAAAAATTAGGGTTCATATGATGTTAAAAGATTGGGAATTCGTAATTTATCCGTTTGTTTCCATTTAACATCGCAGATAGTGTCGTTTTGAACCATAAAATTGATCTGTTTGATACGTGTTCTCTGTTATCATTGCTTTGATTTGAGATGATTTGTTTTTGATGAGTTTGATATGTTTCTCTGTTTTTGGCAAGGTCAATTGGAGAACTTGCGACATATGAGGTTTATTAGAGATGAGGTTCATTACATGGAGTACGGAGTAACAGCTCATTGAAGGTAATTCTTGTATGAACTTGTTTGTTTTAGTCTATGTGAAGATATTAAATCATTGAATGAGTAAATCTTGTTTGTTTTAGATTAGGTTAAGATCTTGAAATGCTTTAATTTGATTGTCTACATCATATTTAATTTTGTTTCATATGTCAGTTAGTCTTATTTATGTGTATGTTATTAGATCAATGTAATGCTTGAACTTGCAGTTTTTTAAAATGATTGAATTTGGTTTGAATGTGTTTCTCCAAGTGTTTATTTGGTGATCTCTGCTCAAGTAGAATACCTAATCTATCGCACAAATAACATGAGCCAATGCTAATAGAAGCATATGTTTATTTGTCTTTAAAGTTTAAGCCTGAAATGCTTTAATTTGATTTGATTGTTTTTATTGTTGTCTTTGTGTTTACTCAATGCTTGGTAGTTGGTATTGATTGCTTGTTGTGTCACACTTAAAACACCTAGCACTTATTGTCTAATTCATTTCTTATCTGTCAAACTTCTTGTCTAATTGATTTCTTCCCTTTTAATAAAAACCTAAACACTCTATCTCTCATTATGTTCTATCACGTACACTTAAACACACACCCCTACTCTTTTTTAATAATGCCCTGCCTACTCAACAACAAATCTTTGTTATCAATGCCTATAGCCTCTGTGTTTTATTTGATTAGGTAAAGAATTTAGTGTCACACTTAACACAAACCAAGCGTTTCTCTTGTTATATATGAACCTCTTCTTCTCTAACTTAATACTGATTTACACACACCAAAAACACTTCTTCTTTTTTTATCCTGCTTCCTTTCAACACCAACCAGAGAACTAGGCTATGGATTCATATCCATATAGTCATGGATCAGGCTTTGTGAACCTCTTAACTAGTCAACAAGAGGTTCACAATCTAGAAGCCAATCCGTATGATGATGTCCCTGTCTTTCCAAGCCAAGCTGACTCTCCAAGCCAAGCTGCACACAAACCCAAGGTGAAAAGAGGGAGAAGGAAATGGTCTCCCATAGAAGACGTGGTGCTCATCAGTGCTTGGCTCAACACAAGTAAGGATCCAGTAATAGGCAATGAACAAAAGGGTAATGCTTTTTGGTCACGCATTGCTAACTATTATGGTGCAAGTCCAAATCTGAAAGGTGTGGAAAGGAGAGAGCCAGATCACATAAAGCAGAGGTGGGCTAAGATCAATGATGGTGTATGCAAGTTTGTAGGGAGTTATGAGGCTGCGTTAAAACAGCAATCAAGTGGCCAGAATGATGATGATGTGATGAAACTGGCTCACCAAATCTTCACCAACGACTATGATGCAAAATTCAATCTTGAGCATGCTTGGAGAGAGCTTCGCCATGATCAAAAATGGTGTTCAGCTCCTACTACTAAACCGACTGGACAGTCTAAAAGAAGAAAGACTAAGGAGTCTGTTGAGCCTTCAAGCTGTCAGCCACTGTCCCATGGAGTAGAGGAAGCAATGCATCGTCCTATTGGTGTTAAGGCTGCAAAGGCCAACGCAAAAAAGACTGTGGGAGAAGAAGGCAATGGTCTCTCTAGGTTGCAGGGCATATGGGAGATCTCAAAAAAGAACTTTGAGTTAAAAGAGAAACAGAGCAAGCATAGTATGCTTGATAGTCTACTTGCAAAAACAGAGCTTAGTGACACAGAAATTGCCTTAAAAGACAAGCTCATAAATGACATGTTGTCAAATGCTTGAAGGATTTCTTTTGTTTCATGTATCATAAGTTCGGCTTTCTTTGTTTCATGTATCATAAGTTTGTCTTTTTGTTGTATTTCAATTTGTGTTTTCTGTCATAAGTTAAGTCTTTTGCTTGTATGAACTTGTTTGAATCAATGAATCAGTGTTTGTATGAATTTGTGTTTGTATGAATCAGTTTTGCTTGAAATAGTTGAAGTGCATGACAAACAAGTGGAGTTGTGATATTGTGATGGTAACACGTTTGTGTTTTTGTGCAGGATAGACAAGTTGCTTCACTAGCAACACGTGAAGCAAAAAGACAAGTTGACAAGAAGGGGACATGTTAAAGAGGACAAGATTCCAGCAAGTACACGGACACTACAAGTCTTGATTCTAACCACATGTTTGAATGAGTTTTCTTTTTACCACAAGTCCTCTCTGTTTGTTCACGGATACAAGTATTCATTGTAGCCACATGTTTCACTTTGCTTCTTAACCATGTATATGTTTTGTGTAGTCCACTATAAATATGACCATGTAATATCACTTTGTAATATCAATTGTCCAGACTCTTTCCTTCTTACTTTGCTTCTATTTCTTTTCTACTCTAAAAACAGTTACTTGCAACAAAAATCTCCAAGGCTTCTTTTTCTTTTCTACAACTAAAATCTCCAATTTCTTTTCTACGCCAAGGCTTCTATTTTTACTCAAAAAAATCCAAAACAATTCTACATTGTAAATGGCATCATCTTCCCATGAAAATTTAGAAGAAGCGTTGGACGAAGAATTTAGTAATATTTTACAGCAAGAAATAGATAATTCTTTGTATTCTTACGGTGATCGTCCACAAACCGCAAAACCGAGGAAAAAACGAGTCCATATTGAAAGAAATCGAGAAGAAGGACACATCCAGTTATGGAACGATTATTTCGCAGAAAATCCAACTTTTCCTCCTAATCTATTCAGACGCCGTTTTAGAATGAACAAGCCATTATTCATGCGTGTTGTTGATCGACTCTCCACAATTCCATTCTTTCAACAAAAAAGAGATGCTACAGGAAGATACGGTTTTTCTACACTACAGAAGTGTACAGCAGCAATTCGTATGCTTGCATATGGTTTAGCAGCTGATGCGGTTGACGAATATCTCCGGATTGGTGCAACCACTTCGATGAAGTGCATGGAACATTTTGTTGACGGAATTATTGATTGCTTTGGAGATGAGTACCTACGACAACCCACTGCAGAAGATCTTCAACGACTACTCCATATTGGAGAGATTCGAGGATTTCCCGGGATGATGGGAAGCATTGATTGTATGCATTGGGAGTGGAAGAATTGCCCTACCTCTTGGAAAGGACAATATACACGTGCCTCTGGAAAACCAACGATCGTTTTAGAGGCTGTAGCTTCCCAAGATCTTTGGATATGGCATGCGTTTTTTGGACCGCCAGGTACTTTAAACGATATTAATATTCTAGATCGCTCTCCGGTTTTTGATGACATCTTAAAAGGGCGAGCACCAGCAGTGAATTATACAGTCAACGGGAACGAGTATAATTTGGGTTACTATCTCACGGATGGCATTTATCCTAAATGGGCTACTTTTATCCAATCTATTTCACTTCCACAAACTGAAAAAGCATCTTTATTTGCAACCCATCAAGAAGCTTGCCGTAAAGATGTCGAGCGTGCTTTTGGAGTTTTGCAAGCTCGATTTGCTATTGTCAAAAATCCGGCTCTTCTTTGGGATAAGGTAAAAATAGGAAATATTATGCGAGCATGTATAATACTTCACAATATGATAGTAGAAGACGAACGAGATGGGTATACTCTGTTTGATACGACCGAATTCGAACAAGCGGAATCTGCAGGAAGTTCACGGGTGGATTTCACATATTCTACAGATATGCCTTCAAATTTCTTCGATACGATGGCCACTAGAACTCGAATTCGTGATCGAGGTATGCATCTACAATTGAAGAAGGATTTGGTCGAGCATATATGGACAAAATATTCTAGAAATTAAGTTTAAAATATTTGTGCTTTATGTTATTTATGTTATAAATTGTATCTCATGTATGTTTTAATTTTTTTAATTTGCAACAATTATTAAATTTTCTATAATTATAAATTTTATTTTTGTATTAATATTTTTTTTTCTAAGAACCACATGTTAAGAACCTACCATTAATCACACAAAAATCTTAACCCAAAAATACTATATCTTAACTATCACTTTTACAAATATATTACTTAAATATTCCTAAGATTTATTTCTAAGATACTACCAATAATCATGCTCTTACCTTCTTTGTTTTTCTTTGTTTTTTTTGTTTATTTTGTAAATTTGTCTCATAAAAAAAGCGAAACCCTCCAAAGAGCCATGGTCTAAAAGCTATTCACATTATTTGGGTTTTAATTATTATTTTTTTGACATCTTTGGATCGACAAGACCCGATCCATAGTCAATCCCTACTACGCGGGGTAACGTTATTTAGTGGAGTCGAACTCCGATGGAGAAGGCAAAGTCAAGTGGTTAATTTGTATTTTAATTTTATATCATACCTTCGCAAAAAACCGACCGAACGAACGATGGTCGTCATTTTGCCCAAATTGAGCCTCGTAGTAGTTGCTACGACCATACACCCACCCGTCCCATGAGTAAACACGACCATGTAAAAATTATCTATAAAAGATAACATAAAATCACAAAATAATGTTGTTGAACAAACAAACAAAATTTCACAAAATAATAATAATGCTCTATGTCTTGTTCATAAACATTTAAAAAATAAACGAAAATGTGGCATAACACACGAGACACGAGTTATGACTTATGACATGAGAAGACATATGCCGCATGAACTCTTTATGGCCTCCATATTTAGTCTCTTATTTACATGCAGAAAACTACGATCTGCGATTATATAATGAATTTCAAATTTATAACCAGTTCGTTCTGATCTATTTTTCTCTCAAAAAGAATGTAGTGCTCCAACTTTTCTTGCAAGACTAATAAAGTTTCTTAATTGCATGCAATAATATTTTTCCTACTCTAATCTTATCAAACTTATATCTCAGTAATCTTCCAAATAAGAATCTTTTTGGTGCTTTGCCTAATCAAAAACAACTAATTAAACTAGAAGAAAAATCATCTATCAAAGAAAAATACAATTAGACAAAATAATATCGAAGAGAAAAAAAATTCCACAAGAAGGACCAAAAGAAATTTCACGTCCGAATCACAACCACAGAAAAAGAGAAGAATATAATTTAATTTTTGTCGTGTGTCTTCTCTGGTTCACTCATCTCCTATCTATTTAAAGCCCATTCGATATCCTAAAACACTGTATCATCAAAAAAACACCTCAAAGAATTATTTAGGCATCTCTCAGTTTTTGTGAAACCCACATCAAAAGATCTCTCCTTTTCGTTTCGTGTCTGCTGTTTTGAGTGTCGGGTTCGTTTATCTGTAATCATTCTCCGGCGTTCGATTTGGAAAAATCCGGGAAACAGGTGATCGGAATCACGGCTATACACGGGATATCACGGGGTGTTTGCTCTCATGTCCATATTGTTCGACAGAAGGGTTGTTTAATCGAAACTAATCCTTTGCCGCACGGAGGACGTGGAGCTCTGCCGTCTGAAGGCGGCAGCCCTTCCGATCTCCTCTTTCTCGCCGGAGGCGGTTCCACCTTCAACTTCTTTTCCTTTAGGTTTTAGGAGTTAGGGTTGTTGTTAGAGTTTTTTCCTTTTTTTTTTTTCTGCTGTTGAATCGCTCTTTCTTGGGGGAAACTTTTTTATTTTTGCTCTACGAAAGTTTTTCTTTTTGGAGAATGTTGAAAATCAAGAGAGTTCCGACCGTCGTTTCGAACTACCAGAAGGACGATGGAGCGGATGATTCCGTCGGCTGTGGACGGAATTGCCTCGGCGCTTGTTGCATTAACGGTACGTTTCGAAAGCTGAATCGTCTTTTTTTATTGTTAAATTTTATCTCTTTGATTTACCTTTGTTGCGTTTGTTCAGGGGCTAGGCTTCCATTGTATGCATGTAAGAATTTGGCAAAATCCGGCGCCGTAGAGAAGCTTGTAATCAGTAATGAAGCTAAAGAGCCTCCTGTGGCTTTTCTCGAGTCCCTCGTTCTCGGAGAGGTAATTCATAGAGTACTGATTTGAAATTCTGATTGTGGATTCTGTTGCTTTGAAGATTCTAATCAAGATTATTTATGTTTCAGTGGGAGGATAGGTTCCAAAGAGGACTTTTTCGCTATGATGTCACTGCCTGCGAAACCAAAGTAATTGTCTTTCTTACCTTGTTTGACAAACTAGTGATGTTTGTATGTTACTAAGGAATCCGAGATGTGTTTTACATTGTTCTTAAGATTGTTTCTCTTGATGTTAATATAGGTTATCCCGGGGAAGTATGGTTTCGTTGCTCAGCTTAACGAGGGTCGTCACCTGAAGAAGAGGCCAACTGAGTTCCGTGTAGATAAGGTGTTGCAGTCTTTTGATGGCAGCAAATTCAACTTCACTAAAGTTGGCCAAGAAGAGTTGCTCTTCCAGTTTGAAGCTGGTGAAGATGGCCAAGTTCAGTTCTTCCCTTGCATGCCTCTTGACCCTGAGAATTCTCCCAGTGTTGTTGCCATCAATGTAAGAATCTTGTGCAGAGAGCTTGGCTTTTTTTTTCCTTTTATTGGTTTTGATGCAAAATATTAATTCTTTATTGTTGTTTTAACAGGTTAGTCCGATAGAGTATGGGCATGTGCTGCTGATTCCTCGTGTTCTTGACTGCTTGCCTCAGAGGATCGATCACAAAAGCCTTTTGCTTGCAGTTCACATGGCTGCTGAGGCCGCTAATCCATACTTCAGACTCGGTTACAACAGCTTAGGTGCTTTTGCCACGATCAATCATCTTCACTTTCAGGTATACCGAAAAGTGACCCAAGACAACATTTTTTCCCTTGCTCATCTAAGATGACTTGTTCTCATTGTTTTGATGGTGATTGTTTTTGGAAACAGGCTTATTACTTGGCCATGCCTTTCCCCCTGGAGAAATCTCCTTCCAAGAAGATAACTACCACTGTTAGTGGTGTCAAAATCTCTGAGCTTCTAAGTTACCCTGTGAGAAGTCTTCTTTTTGAAGGTGGAAGCTCTATGCAAGAGCTATCCGATACTGTATCAGACGCCTGTGTTTGCCTTCAGAACAACAACATTCCTTTTAACATTCTCATCTCTGATTGTGGAAGACAGATCTTCTTGATGCCACAGGTATAACTTTGGCTGGACCACCGTTGGATCAATAAATGTTTTGAATCCACTTAATAAAAGTGAATAAGAGTTTGAATGTATAAATTGCAGTGTTACGCAGAGAAACAGGCTCTAGGTGAAGTAAGCCCGGAGGTGTTGGAAACACAAGTGAACCCAGCCGTGTGGGAGATAAGTGGTCACATGGTACTGAAGAGGAAAGAGGATTACGAAGGAGCTTCAGAGGATAACGCGTGGAGGCTCCTTGCAGAAGCTTCTCTGTCGGCGGAAAGGTTTAAGGAGGTTATTGCTCTCGCCTTTGAAGCCATAGGTTGTAGTAACCACGAGGAGGATCTTGAAGGAACCATAGTTCATCAGCAAAACCCAAGTGGTAATGTTAACCAGAAAAGCAACCAAACCCATGGAGGTCCGATCACAAACGGGACGGCCGCGGAGTGCCTTGTCCTTCAGTGAACAATATTGTGACTTGGTGGTTTGTATGTATAATTAAAAGCCTAAATAAGCAAACTCTCTTTGTAGTTGCATTCGAAGCTTCTTCGTTATTGTATAATGGTTGTGGGCATTTTGTGCCTCTAGACTCACTGGTTCTTTGTTTTTGTTATAAGTTGGTGTTTATGAATATATATGTTCTTCGCGAGGATGATTATTATTTGTATAGATTTGATTGTTCGAACTCGTGGTTGATATATCTTAACAAGAGTTCAGTGTCAACCAATTACTTGTAACGAAGAAGTCTTTCTACAATCCACAAACATGTTAACGATTCGGAAAATGTAATTTATACAACACGAGAGATAGTAATAATACTGATCATTGATCACGGTGGTCTTGTCTATAATCACCAGAAGTTTTGTTTATTAAGCACATCGTCTATATAGACTATAATCACAAACTCAATGCTCGTTCATGGTTTGGAACTATATATGGTTGACAAAAAGAAAGTTACACTTTGCTAATTCATTATGTCAGTTAAGCTAGTTCTTGATTTAATAATGTTCTGTTTAATCGACTGGTTGGATTTTGTCTTAGTTCGCCCATTAGCTCAGTAACGTATACGTTAAGGGTCAACTTTTAATAATTTATAGCTTTTTCATCGTTACCATACCAACAAACTTTAGATAATCGGGTTAATAACACCTTTAAGCCGAAGTAGTAGTATCATAGGATCCAATACCAAACGAACAAGACAAAAAATCAACCAAAGGGCGAACTTGTAGTTTCTAGAGAGAATGGTCACAATAAAAACAAGTCTGCAATTCCTAATGCCGAATACTCCTTAACCATTCATATCACACAAGCCCTAAACCCGGAGGAAGTGTCAGGCCATAGCACCACCACCTCTGCCACCAGTCTGATGGAGCATCGCATCGATCTCATCACCGTCCTCCATGTCAAGCTGTAGAATTCAAGAATTATTAGCATCAGAAACTATAAACCTCAAAGGTAAAAAAAAAAGCATGTAGATTGAATGTTATACCTCATCGGGAGTTTGCTCAGCACGCAGACGACGGCCATCAAACAAGAAAGCAATGGAGTTCATGTCCACAGATTGCCGGTCACAGTAAGCATTCATTAGCTTCTTGAGCTGGGTGCTTCTCTTGATCCTAAAGAACACCTCGTTTCCATCCTATACACAAACATATACAAGGAACAATATGATTCTGATCTTGGTGGAAAAGACATTGTCAATAAAGGTTAGAGACATCATATGAAACAATAACTAAATCTCATGGCTCTCTTTTGATAGTAACATGAAACAGTCTTAAGTACATATCACCAGTTCATTCAATGTAAGGCTTTGTCTTTGAGAAGTCCAAGCATACACATCAGCCAAAGCATTTGAAAACTTCATCAGAAGATATATACATTCAACAAGTTGCTATATACTAAAAAAGGGTTTAGCTTGAAACATAATTATTTGACTGCATCGTTCACAATCCTTAGAACATTCAACAACAATTTCAACTTTTCCCTACCAAAACTAGGAAACCCTCAAATAATAACAGAACCACAAGTTTTATAAGCAACTTACACCTAAAACCAAACAAAAAAGACCTAGATTTACGAAACCAGAAAGCAGCCAAATTGGAAAGAAAAACCCTAATCTCTACAAGAGACCTTGAAATCAGAAACCCAAATCGTCACAAGGATGGGAACAGAGAGAGAGATACCTGTCCCTTGACTTTCAGGTTGATGTGAGCTCCTCCGTCTCCTGGCTTCTTGTCTTCTTCCTGGTTTGCAGACATCGTGAAAGATTCTCCGTCCGGTGATAAAAATACGAAATTTGAGATAACGATGAGAGATTCACACAATCAAAGAATGATGCTGAGAGACGAATATAAACAAAAAATAAAAAGACTGATGAAGAGAAGAAACTCTGAAAATCTCTAATTTATTGGCCGTGGCTTTTGTACTTGGACGCATCGGATTCCTCATTATCATCAACTCGTAGGGCATCTATCCAACGGTTCATATTCTCTCTAGGTTGCCTTTTAATCCAACGGCTGATAGTTTGTTAAAATCTAGCCTTTCATTATAATGGGCTTCTATTTTATTGGGCCATTCGAACCCATTAGACAATTTGATTTTTTGGTTTACAAGTTCCTGATCTCACTCACGTGAGTCCTTTTTCATCTGTTAAATCTATTAGAACATAAAAAGAACAAGGTCTTGTTGAAGGAACAAGAAAACTCCTTTTTTTTTTTTGGTTTCTTAATAACCAAAATTAACTATGAACACAATCAGTTTAAACATTCTTATGTATTTTTAAACACATTAAAATTTTAGAAAGTTCCTTTACCTGAATATCATGTTAAGTATATCTTTTTGCTATAAATAGAGCTTTAAAATTATACAGTTTCAGTTTAAATCTTTTTATGTCAGCTATTCTTCCGTGACCCACATCCCCCACTTAGCACTTCTCCACACCTAAATCGTATAAATACGGTAGAACAGCTCCGTCACAAAGGCAACAAAAACTTTCCTTCGTCTCCACAACTACTATCAAACGACACTGCTTTATGCGTTTCATGCTCTGTTTCTGAAGAAAAAACCATGGCCGTTTCTTTCCTACCTTGTTTAATTCTCATTGTTTCCCTCTTCTCAGCCATTGACGCACGTTAGTTTTTCATCTCTCCACACTAGTTTTCATATAAGTATATGTGTCTCTGTATTTGCCGTGTCTACTACGTTCTTCTTATTGTGTTTTGTTTCCACAGATTCTGGAATGATCGGAGTCAACTATGGCCGGATAGCTAACAACCTCCCGTCGCCGGAGAAAGTAGTGAACCTCCTGAAATCACAAGGAATCAACCGTATCAAAATCTTCGACACCGATAAGAATGTACTAACCGCACTTGCAAATTCCAGAATCAAAGTAATCGTAGCTCTCCCCAACGAGCTTCTCTCCTCCGCCGCCTCCCACCAATCATTCGCCGACAACTGGATCAAAACCCACATAATGTCATACTTCCCAGCGACAGAGATCGAAGCTATCGCCGTTGGTAACGAAGTATTCGTCGATCCGAAGAACACGCCCTATCTTGTCTCTGCGATGAAGAACATTCACACCTCTCTGGTTAAGTATAACCTCGACAAAGCCATCAAGATCTCTTCTCCGATTGCTCTTAGCGCGCTGGCTAATTCGTACCCGCCATCTTCCGGTTCTTTTAAACCGGATTTAATCGAACCGGTTATTAAACCAATGCTTGCTCTGCTACAACAAACGTCGTCGTTTCTCATGGTAAATGCTTACCCGTTTTTCGCTTACGCAGCAAACGCCGATAAAATCTCTTTAGACTACGCTCTGTTTAAACAAAACGCCGGGAATATAGATTCCGGTACCGGATTGAAGTACAACAGTCTTTTTGACGCACAAATCGACGCCGTTTACGCGGCATTGTCTGCCGTCGGATTTAAAGGCGTTAAGGTGATGGTGACGGAGACAGGGTGGCCTTCCGTTGGAGACGAGAACGAAATTGGTGCAAGCGAATCAACCGCGGCGGCGTATAACGGTGGACTCGTGAAGAGAGTGTTAACCGGTAAAGGAACGCCTTTAAGACCGAAGGAGCCACTTAACGTCTATTTATTCGCTTTATTCAACGAAAACCAGAAACCGGGGCCAACGTCTGAGAGAAACTACGGAATGTTTTACCCAAACGAAGGGAAAGTGTACGACGTTCCGTTCTCCAGAGTGAGGTCAACGCCGGTCAACGGTAACAGAGATCATGTCCCGGTGACGCATGAGGGACACACGTGGTGCGTTTCGAACGGAGAGGTTGCGAAGGAGAAGCTTCAGGAGGCTCTTGATTACGCTTGCGGAGAAGGAGGAGCTGATTGCCGTCCGATTCAGCCAGGTGCCACCTGTTATCATCCTGAGTCGTTAGAAGCTCACGCTTCGTACGCTTTTAACAGTTACTACCAGAAGAACTCACGTCGTGTTGGTACGTGCTACTTTGGTGGAGCTGCCCACGTCGTCACGCAACCTCCTCGTACGTTAATCTAATCCCTCCTCTGTTTTAATCATACGAATATAAGATTACATTTATTTTGCTTTAATTGAATTCGCAAGTATAGACTTAGCTTATGATAAACAAATTTTGATGCGTTTATTTGGTATAAGTTTATTGAAAAAAAGAAGAAACATAGTGGCAAATGGTTTAGTAGTTGGCGGTTGTGAAAGTTGAGCTATATTGGGTCCTTTTGGCATTTTAAGATGTTCACGTATCTGTAAGATATATGGTGACGTTTAATATTTTCTATAATTTTAACCTTTTTTTTTTTTATTGCACAGGATATGGAAAATGCGAGTTTCCCACCGGACATTGAGGCGGAATAGTTATCGGCATTTTTCTTCTTGCCTGATTTATTACTTTGTTTGCTAATCAGGAATATATTTTATATCGTGTATAAAATATATTAACTTTGTTGAACTATTTCATATATTTTAATTTAAAATTTATATCATCACTAGATTATCCTCAAAATGTTGCTTGAAAGTTGGAGTTTCACATTATACACAGCCCCGGCTTAGAGTGGTAGGGCGGAAATGCGACGGTCCGGGGTTTTTTTTTTTTTAAGTTTAAGGTTCAAATATTTTTTAAAAATATTATTAATATGAGAATTATATTTCAAGAGGCCTAATTATTTATAAGAACATGTATAAAAGGCCCAAAATTTTTAAAATAACAATTTTTACTATAAAAGATACGAAAAAGTTTTTAAAATTAAGTAAATTTTCTCTTTATATATAATAATAGGCAAAAAAAAATTTTTTTAACCCTAAAGCTCTCAAATATATTGAGCCGGGGCTAATTATACACAGAGGAGATAAAATGAGTTTCACATTTTACTATTTAGTCTTTTATCATTAGCATTTCAGAGTATATACTACAAGGAATGAAATCTTGTAAAATGGATAAAATCTTTAATTTCTATAATCTCAACTAGAAAAATATCTATCCTTTTTTATATCTAATTATTTTGGGGAGAGATAACATCATATAAAGTTATAAACAAGGTAAACATCATCACCACTTGCATATATAGCCCACCATGGATGATGAAATAAGCTTCGTTGAAGAGATGAATCAACGGCTTCTAATAACCGTCACCGATACCGAACAAGTCCCCGAACTCCAATCAATATCATCACGAAACGACCAAGAATCCGAACCAGCTAACATCTCACAATGGTCACTACTCTTCAAACTCTTTCTAGCCATCACCATCATGGGTGCTTGCGTAGCATGTGTCTCGTTTATCATATTGATTACACCAACTCCACCCACCGTTCACGTACAATCCATGCATATATCCTTCGCCAACCACAATCTACCGGTCTGGTCCGCAACGTTCTCTATCAAAAATCCTAACGAGAAACTCCACGTCACGTACCAGAATCCTTCGGTGTGGTTGTCTCACCGGGGAAGACTTGTGTCGACGGTAAGAACCGATTCGTTCGGACAGAAAGGCGGAGAGGAGAACAAGGTGATTGTGAATGGAGACGAAACCAAAGTTATCGATGAAGAGGCGGCTTGGGAAATGGAGGATGAAGTGGCGGTGACAGGAGGTGTGGTAGGTTTTGATATAGTGTTTTCTGGGAGAGTAGGGTTTTATCCAGGAGTTTCTGCTTTATGGGGAGAACAGTACATGTCAGCTGTTTGTGAAAATGTAAGAACGAAGTTGTATAATGTTGATGACCAGATCTATGGGACAAATAGATCGGTTTTGTCGTTTGATGGTCGACTAGATTGTCGTGTACGTCTCCCGAAATATCCTTAGGTTAATAATGTCGACTAGATTTTGTTTTTGCATTTGTTAGGGTTGTATGCTGTTCGATGAATTATGTCTGATTAACGATGTTATGTTACTTTTTTTTGACGACTAAAAGCTATTAGTGAAGATTAATGATGATGATGACAAGAGATTCAACAGTTGTGTGAATCTTAATGGCAAAACATAAAGCCAGCGGAAATTGAGCATACAATCTCTCCTATGAATTTGGTTTTAAAACCATTTTGGCTATTTAGTATTTTATCTATAACGAAAGCAAATGAATACATTAGTTTTAATGTTTTTAACTGCCTGGAAAATAATTATCACGCAGATTTGTTTTGGATTTTTCAATGGATTTTGACAAACTAAACGGAAGAATTGAGATTTTGAAGATTTGGACTCAAGAAGAAGATATGGTTAACAACCTAAATTATTGCATTACACGTCATCCACTGCAATCAATCTAAGTCACAAGGATAAAACTCGGCCCGAATGTAAAAGAAAACTCGGCCCAATATCAATCACAAGTAATCCAAAACACACGTGGCAGATGAAACTCTCTTCCTTGGCTAGAAGGTATGCTTCTGTTTTAATATGACCTTTGGCCATTTTTTCGACTCTATCACAGCTCCAGCGTTTTAAACGCCAGAATACCTACAAGGTCGAAGCGCAAAAAAACGCCAGTATTGCAGTTTAAAAGCTTCAGTTGTTTTTTACACTGACTTGTTGCTTTCAGTTTCCTCTACCATTTCCACGGGTAAGCTTTTTAATGTAGGTTCGTTTGTTTTTCATTTGCACGCCACATGCTCGATGAAATTCCCCAAAGGGACTCAGTGGTAAATAACGTTTTTTTTTTTCCTTTGCTTTCCCAACGGCAGTCGAATTTCGAGTGTTTGTGGGGTTCAGAATTAAGATGCTGCCGCAGAGGTTGAAGAAGGCTATAACGGATAATCCAAAGAAGCTTGGGAATTTGATTGACCTCGTTAATCTTCCATCGACTCTACGTGAGTTCGTTGGTCAATCTCAGATTTCCCGTCTGGGTTGTTTCATGCGTGTCTGGTCCTATATCAAGACCAACAATCTTCAGGTTTGATAATGATGTTAAGTTATTAAGTTATTAAGCTAATCATGTTTTTAATGTTTTGTATCAATAGACTGATTGGTTTTGTTTCTTATAGGATCCTAAGAACAAGAATGTGGTGATTTGTGATGAGAAGCTCAAGAGCATTTTGCTCGGGAAGCAGCGAGTGGAGCTAGTCGAGCTTCCTTCTCTTATCAAGTTGCATTTTCCTAAAGAACCAAAGTAGAATTGTCAGAATATGTAACAGAGTTCAACATCATTGGCTTCTTTGGGGTCGTTTGTTCTGTGATGCTTAAAGATATATGATTGATACTACTTCTAAGTTATGGATTCTCGATTCAATTCCCTTTCTGCTTTCTTATGTAAACAGTTTCTCCTTGTCGAGTGCTGTGTTCGTATAACATTAAAAGAACATCTTTAAGTACTTACACTTCCACGATATAGTGGGAAAATTTGGTTCTTTTACAACAATATGGAAGCTTGATTCAAACAATATCAAGCAACCTGAGAGTGATCATTGGTAGATTTGTAACAAATACAACACAGAAACAGAGTTTAATTAGTAGAAGAAAGAATGTAGCATCTTACGGAACATGTTTGCGGTATGGGCTGCATATGACGAGTCCCAAAATCCATATTTGCTTGCATCCAAACATGTGAAAAGGTCCAATCTATCATCTCCTAGTATCCAGTTGTAGATTGGAAACCTGCAAGAGAATTAAGAACACAGTGAGAAGAATTCTAGATAAAAAAGAGTAGTTGATACTCATTCAAACTTTGGCTATGTCTTTGGAGGGATACAATGCTTATTACTAACCATATACTTCAGGATTTTTCGTGGATCTAAGACCATGTCATGTGGATTGTTCCCGCTCATTGTTCAACGTTGCGTTTGAATTTTCTGGCCACACTGTTGTATTCTTCGATGCGCTGGCTTCCATCAAAGATTTGTGTTCTTGCATCCGATAAGAGGGAGCCTGAAGAGAGATATCTTGCAAGCTCCGAGTCTGTAAATGTCCCTCAAGAAAAATCCCCTAGGATACTTCAGCTGATGCGCTTTCGTTTCAGTGCGCGTGCCTTTTGGTAAAATCTATTCAGCGCATTTGCTTCAGTCCGCATGCCAGCCCTATTCAATCCTGAGATCATTGTCGTGTATGCTGCACAATCAGGCTCAACTCCTTTGAACTTGAGCTTACAGAACAAATCATATGCTTTTTCCACCATACAAGCCTTGCACATCCCATGAATCATGATAGTAAATGTAATAATATCAAGATCATTTCTAGTCTTTTGCATATGTTCGAAGCATTTCAATGCTTTCCCTACCTCCCCATTAGCAAATAGACCAGCTAACACAATGTTGTAGCTCCTAATATTGGGAGGCAGACCATTAGAAGTCATATTTCCAAAAACGCCTAGAGCGAGATCTATATCGCCTGCTTGAAAATAGCCCTGGATAAGCGTGTTGCAAGAGACTGTATTTTCAGCCACGCCTCTTTGAAACATCTCGTATAAAAGATTAATCCCATCATGTACCCTCGCCGACTTGAAATATCCATTTGCAAGAGTACTGTAAGTGACTACATTTGGGGCGCACCCCTTGCTTATCATCAAGTCAAGCATTTTTCTGGCCTCATCTACACAATTGTGCACACAAAGCCCGTTGATAAGTGAACTGTAAGTGAAAACATTAGGATCTATAGACAATTGGATCATCTTCTCGTACACAGCATCAGCCTTTAAAAGCTTCCCACATTTCACATATGCATGGATTAATGCACTGAAAGTGATAACATTAGGGTTGACTTTCCTGGAGATCATCTCGAGCAGTAGTCTGTTGGCGTCAGTCAATCTACCGGAATTACAAAGGCCAGTTATGAGAGAGCTGTAGGTAACAACGTTCGGTGAAATTCCTCTGTTTTTCATACGTTTGAAAAGCTCCAGCGCGCTATCCACAAGTCTCTTTTTGCAAAGACTATCAATGAGTATGGTGTCGACAACAACATCACGTTTAATTCCCATTTCCTCCATTTGGCCAGCCACATAAACAGCATCGTTAATACTATCCCTGAGACAGAATCCATTGACCAGAGAGCTAGCAGTTACAATATCAGGCTCAATACCAAGTTTCATCATCTTCCCAAAATAAGATAAAGCCAAAGAGGGTTGAAAGCAGCGGCAGAAACAATTCACCAAAATATTACAAGTATAGAGATCAGGTGAAATTTCAATACCTTCTGCATTTTCCATACATTTCCAGAGAGTAATCACAACATCGTACCTCTCCATCTTAGAAATAGCAGTCAATACTTTATTGAATTCAACAATTGAAGGTAGGGGATAAGAATCAGCCATGAGTACAAACAAATCAAATGCATCTTTGAACTTAATACTTTGAAGCCCACTTCTCAATACCTCTCGATAATCAGTAGTAGCATCAGAAAAAGCTCGTACCCAGAAACGAAATCTCAACGACGGAGCAAGAGCAATCCCAGGATTACTGTTCTTCAGAAAATGCTGATGAAGATGGAGAAACCCCTTAGCCGTTGAAGCAATCGCAGTCGCAATCGACCACCGCATCCAATCGTTTCGACTTCAGCTTGATTTGGGTTCGTTCCCATATACTGTCTCAGGAATTTTGACCATAAACCCTAAACCCTACAGTGTTGAAGTGTTTGAGACTTTGAGAGAACTGGGAAAATTGAACAGAGAAGAAATAAAACTTTAACCGGTTTAAGAACAATCGAGCTTTTTAGGTATTTGGTTTATTATAATCGGAAACCGTACAAAGTAATAACCAATCGCTTAAAACGGTTTTCCCAAACCGAACCGGATTGCACAAATTCGATTCGATCCTCCTCTTCTCCAACGGCATCCTCTTCTCTCGTCACGACAAGGATTTGTCGAAAATGTCGCATTTGTTCTCCACTCTCTGTGATTCTTTGATTACGTTGATCTTCTTAGCTCTTGGCCACTCCTAGCTGATTTTGGTGAGGAAAATGGTTGATTTAGAGAGTCACAAATGTCAGCGTTTTTGGTTTGTGGCTTCATGATTCAATTCCATTTCTGTATTATTTTCTTAAATGTTTGATCTTTTCCATCTTTATAACATCACAGTAGCATCTTTATGTAGTTACAAGAACACAGAGTAAGAAGAGTGGTTCTTTTACAACATTCTGGAAGCTTAATTTGAGTGAAATCTAAACAAGAAACTTACAGAAAAAAAAAATATATATATATATGTTGTAGAGGAAAGAATGTAGTAGGTTAACTAATAACTGTTGTGCTTGTGGTGTGGCACTTTTCGTATTTATCACTGAAACCGAGATAAGTCGTATTTCAGAACATGACTTGCTACGATGGCGTTTGTCTTCTCTGTTGGGTGAAATGAGTCCCAAAATACATATTTGCTTGCATCAGAACATGTGAATGGGTTCATTTTATCACACAAGTAGCTCATCTCATAGTACCCCGTTCCGCAACACGCACTCCTTACATTTTGGAAACCTGCAATGCAATTAGGAATATCATCAGAAGCATTCTTCATTTAAGAGCACTTGGTACGTATTGAAACTTAGCCCTTTGTCTTTGTAGGGTTGCAATGGCTGGGAAAAGCTTCTTGTTAGAACTTTGTACTAACCGAATGCTTCAGGATGGTATATGATTTCTGAAACCAGGTCATACGGATTTGAAAACACAAGCTGGATTCCGTCCAGTTCTCTGTTCAACTGGTAGACTTTCATTTCCATTTTGGTGTTGAAATCTCTAGCCACAATGTTGTATTCTTCGATACATTTGCTTCCATAAAAGAGCTGAGTTGTTCTTTCCAGGGGCAAGCATCCAAAAGGAGAGAGTCCCGACCAAGACATCTTTCGAGCTCCGAGTCTGTAAATATCTGTCACGAAATCTGCTGCGATTCCTATCAGGAAATTTTGGTACTCATTCACAGCGTACTTCCGTAACTTACGAGGAAGAAGATAGTAATTCTCCAGGAAATCGTTGGTTCCGATACTAATCAGGTAAAGGGCTTCACTAATAATCTCATTAGCATTCTCTTCACCCAAGTAGCTTCTTAGCCTGATCTGGTATTCTTTGTAGTACTCTACTTCCTTCCAAAGCGGCATCACAGACTTTAGAAGTCGATGGCATTTCAAAAAAACCAAGCCATTATTAGCTTAACTAGGAGTATGAAATCTAAATCCACTGCAATAGAATATATATGTTATGTTGTAAGATATATAACTATGCTTGACTTACTAACACAGCAGAGGTTGCATTGTCTAAGCCGGTTCCAGCTGAAGCGAAACAGACACCAGTGGCAAAGTCTGCAATGTTGTATGCTGGATCTAGATAGGCAGGGACTGCGTTCTTGAGTCCCAAACCTTCAGAAATGAAGTCTGGTGCAATCCGACCATTTGAGAATCTCCCAGTGGCTTTGCCGTCAAAGTAATCCCGGCCATAAGGCTGAAAATTACTCTTCAGAACAGTAGAAATCTGGTTGTTGTTGCCTGAATCCACAGTTGAGTCCCCAAATACGATAAGTGCAGGAACTTTTGCACACGATTCAGGTATTTGCACCAAAAGCTGAGCTGCTAGCAACAAGAACGCAAGAACTCTGTTTCGCTGCATGCTTTTTTACACGAGTTTTCAATTCTTTTGCTTCTGCAAACAAGAACCTCACGATTAAGAGGTATCTTCTATCAAACCTGACTAAAACAGATTTCGCTCGTGTAGTTAATAGCTTGGCCCTTTGTTAGATGAAGCTTATTAAATACTCCTTAGTCAGATTTGTCTCTGTTTACTTTTGGCCACAGAGAGTTAGTTGAGGTGAGTAATGAGCTGAATATGATTGAGAGTTTCAATAATAGTTTTGCAGCAGAGAGCCGTATTTATAGCTACTAAAAAGGAGAGACAAGACAGAATAATTTAAAGTAGAAGGATTCGTACTATTGCAACCTTCAGATATATGTAACGCATCTTCCTTTTTACCGGATTGACGCTCAAAACTCTACTCTCTGTTCGAGTCTCTTTAACTGTTTTATTTTTTTGCTTATGAGTCTGCAATGTAAAGATTGTTTGCACTTGTCAAGCAAAGCTTTAAGTCTCGGAAGCTACAATGGAGTTTCATTTGATTAATAAATTTGGGTAAACTGTGTCGCACGTTTTGGGGCTTTTTAGTTCAACCATAGTTTTGGTTGTTGCAACGAAAATAACAAGTAACGGCAAGAAAGTGTCTCTCATGCGTCAAATGTGACATTTCCGATAAAGTAACTTTGTTTTTTGAGTCTCAACTAGTAAAGATTACATTTATTGACAAGTGGTTCCTAACACAGGTTTGCGTTTTGAATTAACTAGAATACAAGTAAAAGTGTAGTACTAGGCTATTAGCAATTAAGTGGTCATTTATCGTTTGCTGAATTATAGATCAAGTAGTTGAACATTAATTTCCACATTCTCCCATCCAAATGACGTCAAATCTACACAATCCAGCAATTTTTATTACTATTGCAACTAATAGTGATTCTATTTTTTTTTACGGAGTATTTGAGAAGCAAAAGAGTAAAACTAAAAAAAGCCAAACAACTTGGCAACAGTAACATACTACTAATGCTTGTTCTGTTTAGTAGGACTGTACCAATCCGGCCCATGAGATGTTAGGACTATGTCTGTCCCAAAACATACAAGTGCCTTTGGTTCTTTCTAGAGGCTTCTCAGATTAGCTTTGAAAATCTCCCATATGCAATAATGACAGTAATACCCTCACAGACTCGCCGAATCAGTCACTGCTCGTGCACCGGTAAGGGTATTTACGTAAATCGCTAAAACCCCGAAAGAGAGCATTGAGAATCCTCTTCTCCACCAAGCACGTCTGTGTGCCTCTCTGCAAATAAGCAATTTCCTCAGAACAATTACATTTCGATTCGATTCTCTTCTCCTCTTGATCTCTGCTTGTTTCTCTGTGGATTTCCAGATGTTGGTTTCGAGAATTTTATCGCGAGTAACCCGTAACGCGGGCTTACGCTCCTATCTCTCCGCCGTCACTCTTCCGGCGAGGAATCAGATTCCTGTTTTCTCGAGCCGCTTTCACTCCCGCGATCACGAATTTTCGCATAAGGTTCGATTTTCACTCAAATTAATCAGTATTCATGCCGAATTTCAATTCAGGGTTTTGTTAGGGTTTAAGGGTTTCCCTCATTTGAGTTTTTAGATATGATTGCTATCTTCTGATACTGTTTCCTTAATCTCATATGTTTGAATCTACAGATGTATGTATAAATGAATGGATGCTCTCTCACGCTTGCCTTAGATTCTCTCTATAGGTTTTTTGCTCTGTATCATTTCACTGAGATTCACCCATTTTGCTTGTTTTTTTGGGGGCAGCTTGTTCCAGCTCAGGTGTCTATGGATTCGGTTGCACTGCAAAGGTTCTCCTTTTCTTCGACTACCTCGCCTGAATCAGATGAGAAGAAGAGCAACACTGAGGCCTCAAAGACAAGTGAAGAGAAACCTACAGCTGAGGCTAACCAACCAGGTCTTGACACTGAATCTATAGATTCTGTGACCGATTCTACGAAAAGAAAGCGGAAAGGTGCTAAAGGAGCTGCATCTTCTGAATCAGATTCTGAGAGTGATGACGATGAGTTGTCAAAGGATGATTTGGTGAAGCTCGTAGCTGAAAAGGAAGAGCTACTGTCTGAGAAGGAAGAAGAGATTAAGAAAATGAAAGATAAAGTTCTTCGCACTTATGCTGAGATGGAGAATGTCATGGACAGAACAAGACGTGATGCTGAAAACACCAAAAAGTATGCCGTACAGGTTAGTCTACTACAAGAACATTTTTTCCAGCTATTGCTTCCTTCATATACTAGTTTTCTGAAAATATATATGTACACTATATGTATGCAGAATTTTGCAAAGAGCCTTCTGGATGTGGCTGATAATCTTGGAAGAGCTTCTTCGGTTGTCAAAGAAAGCTTCTCAAAGCTTGACACCTCAGAAGATTCTGCTGGAGCAGCTCCACTATTAAAGACCCTTTTAGAAGGAGTGGAGATGACTGAGAAACAGCTAGCTGAGGTAAATATCGAGAAATGTAGTTATAAGACCTTAAGTAAGAAATGTAGATGAGCCCTGTTAAACATGTGTGCCGCTGCAGGTATTTAAGAAATTTGGTATGGAGAAGTATGATCCTATAAACGAGCCGTTTGATCCAAACAGACATAACGCAGTGTTCCAAGTCCCTGATGCTTCTAAGCCAGAAGGCACAGTTGCTCATGTCTTGAAGGTAATATACAAAGCCTGCTCAATTCTTTGTCTCTTCTTATTCCATATTGTATAAGTCTTAACCAGTTATTAATGATGGGTGTCAATATGTGCAGTATGGATACACGCTGTATGACCGAGTTATAAGACCAGCTGAGGTTGGTGTTACCCAGGCAGGAGAGAACCAAGAAGAAAAGAAAGAGTCTGATGCTTAAGAAGAAGTCAGCTGGTTTCCATAAATTTTGTTACGGTTCTATGTTTCGAGTTACTCATTTACATCTTCTCGAGTCTTTGAGTCATAGTTTTCTCTTGTGGTTTGGTTATTCATTAGATGAACAAGATCTCCCATAAGTTCCTGGATGCGGCATTTGCAGGGGAAATCCTGCTTCTGTGTCTGTTTTCTCTATCTACATGCTTTAATTGCACGAGGAAAATATCATTTTACAGTTCTTCTACTCACGCTATACCAAGTCTCTGTTTGATTAATTAATCAGATACAAATTAAAGTTTTAGATGGTCTGATGCAGCCAGAAACTAACCATAGGGAAAGAAGCTGAAAACAGAGTCACACAACTTGCACTCACTTTTTAAAACCTGCCCTGCAACTTATGTTGAAGAATATCTCCGAGCTTTACATAAAGCATTTTCTGCTCCTCGTGTCCCAGGCTCCTCGATATCTGCAGGTATGATACAATCAAATATTTACAATGCCTCTGTAATCTTGGGTGAATGATGAATCTTACCTGGTCTAGGATCATCTCGACACTGTAGTCCTGATTAACAATGAATGATTGGATGTAGATGTATGCGAAAACCGCCATAACCATCTGAATTTAGGCAACGCGATTTGGTTAAAACGGTGTCAAATATCATATTGCACTTTTCGACATTAGTGGCTCTTACTTGGCAATCCATTCTATCGGTAAATCCTCCGTGTCCTGGTATGCTGTCTCCGAAATCCTGTCAAAGCGACAGAAAACTAGTAAATATTTGTTCTTGGATCTGTGGATACAAAACCTTTTAATGTTTGGACAAATGTCTAACCTTGATCTTGAAAGCTCTTTTGAAACCGCTTGCGAAGAAACCACCAAAAGGTGCCATAATGGATGCGAACAGACCGAGAGAGAAAGCATGCCATTGGACAGGCAGGGTCGAGATCCCTTTCCATGGAGACTGTTAAGCATAGTTCACAACGGAGCTCAGTTTCAAAACGAAAGACATATAAGACAACATCATTGGCTGGTTTTCATGAGAGTAGACAATAAATTGCTTACAAATGGAGCAATCCAAGAGGGCAATGGGTAATACTCGGGCCTGAAGAGAGGGCCTGGATCACAATGAAGCCAACCAGTTGATAAATCCTGCAAAAGATATGCAACAAACCGATGAAGTTAAGGCCGAGACAAAATATTGTGATGAAGATTTTACTTTTTGTTACCTTTCTTGGACATGTAAGCCACTGGAACTGGCCTAAGACATTTGCGAACTGTAGTAAGAAGCAGATAATCTATCAGTCTTGAGACCAAAAGAAAGAGTTATGAACGAATGGATACATGATAGAAGATGGTTATTACAATAAATGCAGAGATTATAGTTGCAACTGATGCTCCAATGAAACCTTCCCATGTTTTCTTTGGAGACAACTTGATGAGTGGAGTTTTCCCGAAATAGAAGCCGAAGAAATAAGCCGCTACATCATTCATAGCAATCAGTGCTGCTGGCAGTAGAAACCTGCATATTTATCCATTAGTTAAAAAAAGTTAGCACTAATTATGCTTCAGTGGATATATATAAACCCATTTTACCAGAAGATCCCTTCGAAAATATTGGCGACGGTGAAAGAAGATTGAGTAAAGACGATGATAAGGATCATATGTGTCCAAGCGTATTGCCCAAACTGATACTTATACATCTTATTCTTCAATGTAAGGATAAACCATATGAGACCTGAATCCAACTTAAGCTGTTAATAACTCAAGAAAAAGAGTAATGTTTGTGAAGAAGAAGAAAGAAACACACAAACCTGCGATGTACAGGAAGTAGCAAATAACCATCTGGTACTTGATAAGACCACTCACAAGCTTGTAGATGAATCTGTCTGAAGAAACCGTGTTGACTAGCTGCTGTTGAATGATACGTCCATATACAAACAACATAGCGGTGAAGAAGAAGTGCCAATTCAAGAGCCAGAAACCGGGTAAGCGACGTTCTTCATGAGCTCTTCTACGAAGAAAGAAGAGCTCTTTAGCCATGAATATCTGTATAACCACAACCATAGCCCAAATGTAGAGATGACCCATGTAGATTATAAAGACAACTCCACCGAGCATCCACAGAGATGAGCATGTCCTTATCCACATGGATCTGTACTTGTTCTTATCACCAAGCAACAAATTGCTTACTCTGCTTACATTGCTTCTGTTCACCTCAGCTAAATTCTGAATATTTAAAAAGACAATCAAATCACTGATTAAACCGAAAAAGAGAGTATAATTTAACAATGTATAGATACCTCGCTTGATCGCCTGCGGTGTCGAATGCGGGCTGTTGGAGAGCTAGGAGTATAATTGTAATCCCTTGGTGAATTAGGAATGTTGGGATAATGGTTATCTCTTTGGTTATTACTACTCATTCGAGACGTTGGTGTAGTAGGATAACTATTATCCCTTAGCTTTCTAATCCGTGGAGAATTCGGATTGAGATCTTTCTCCATTGCCATCGAGATCCCTAAGAAATGCTCTCAGTTCCTGGATTAAGTCCTTCAAATTCAGTTAATCAAGATAATCTGGGTTTCTTATCGTTCCGAGGAAATGAATCAATAAAGATTCTCTGATCTATAATTTCAAAATGTCAACCATAATTAGAGCTTATAATGAACACAGACATATCCATAGAGATTACTTGTGTAACAAGCATTAACAGAGGATTTAGATTTGAATGTGTAAGCCTAGAAATCTAAATGATGTATCAAAGCACAACGAGATGATCAAATTCAAAGGATTAAAATGAATAAAACCAAATTTCTGTTATAAACAAATCGGATCAAGAGAAGTAGATTAAAGAGAATGAACTTACATTAACGAATATGTGGCGGGATGATAGTGATTGAAAATGCGAAACCCTAATTAGAGAAAGAAACTCAAAAGGTGAGGTAAGAAGGAGGAGGAGGATGAAGGAGGAAGGTGGTGGATGAGCACTTAGCGGTGAGGTTTCATCAAATCATCAGAAGACAGAACCAATAAACTATTCATGTCGCTGCTTCATGTTTACACCCGGAATGGATGACACGTGTTGTCTTAATACTTCTTGGCCTGGGTCAGATATTTAAGCCCATTAAGGCCTTTTAACCATTAACAATTTTTATTCAGCCATGAACAAATGTTCATTGAACATGATGAGTCAACGAGGTCTGTGCTCACAGTGGTCAATTCAGTAAATAACGCGAAAGAAGAGGGTCTCTTACCTTTTTGTTGTTGTTTTCTTTCTCATTAATTATTGAGTTCCGTAAAATGGGTCCCACTTTTTCCCATTTCCCAACCTCCATAACCATAGTTGGAGATTTCTCTGTTTCCTATGCTCTCTCTCTCTCTTACTCTCACAGTGACTATTCGTCGGAGAGCTTCAGATCTAAAAGAGGGAAGATAAACCCTTTGGATTCAATATCGATATCGGTAAGAAAGCCATCGTCTACTTGTTGGATTCGATTAGTTTCAGGGCTTTGACTTACTTCTTCAATGTTGAGTTCTTGCTTTGGCTTTGGTTTTATCACCAATGCTGTTTGATGTCTTTGAAGTTCATTTCGAGCTTTGCTTCAGCTTAGTTTCACATTCTTTGCTTCACCATGCTAAAAGATGTGTTTTTTGTTCCGAAGTTCAAAATTTTGTTTCTGATTCAATTTGGTTTTCCGAAAAAGATTGTAACTTTGGTTTCTTTTAGCGTATAATTAGTTTGGATCTTCACCAAAAATGTTCGTTGTTTCTATATTTGTAGGAAATCTTTTGACTTCACAAGAATGGCAGTGACAGAGGTTGAAAATCCTCTTCTTGGTGAAATCACTTGTGGCACCTTACTACAGAAGTTGCAGGTAGATTTCGCAACATACACACTTATCCTTTTAAAGTATGGTTCCACGAACTCAATGGACAAACTTGTTACAGGAAATCTGGGATGAGGTTGGGGAGAGTGATGAGGAACGAGACAAATTGCTTCTTCAGATTGAGGAAGAGTGTCTTAATGTTTACAAAAAGAAAGTTGAGCTGGCCGCAAAATCTCGTGCAGAGCTTCTTCAGACTTTGTCGGATGCCACTGTTGAACTTTCCAATCTCACAACTGCTCTCGGGGAAAAAAGCTATATTGACATTGTAAGTAAGCTCATGTCTTACAAGTGGGAAGAATGAGATGAGATGGTTATAGTGTGATTCAATGGTCTTTGTTTCAATTGCAGCCAGATAAGACTTCAGGAACGATCAAGGAACAACTTTCTGCAATAGCACCTGCGCTTGAACAACTTTGGCAACAGAAAGAGGAAAGGGTCCGGGCGTTTTCCGATGTACAATCACAGATTCAGAAAATATGTGAAGAGATCGCTGGTGGATTGAACAATGGACCTCATGTGGTTGATGAGTCTGACTTGTCTCTGAAGAGATTAGATGACTTCCAGAGAAAACTTCAAGAGCTCCAGAAAGAGAAGGTAAACTATTAGTTGGGTTATGGTGATGTGTGGCCTATGATTGCCTTCAGACCAATACTAAAACTGCTTTGTGTTTGTGCAGAGTGATAGGTTACAGAAGGTGCTCGAGTTTGTGAGCACCGTGCATGATCTATGTGCCGTCCTTGGTTTAGATTTCTTAAGCACTGTCACTGAAGTTCATCCGAGCTTAGATGAAGCAAATGGTGTTCAAACCAAGAGTATTAGCAATGAAACACTTGCGAGGTTGGCTAAGACTGTCTTGACTCTTAAAGAGGATAAGATGCAAAGACTTAAAAAGGTTAGTCAGAATCATGGTCTTTGAGATCTCTGACATGAGCTTGGTCAGTTTGGGCTGCACATATGCTGAAATCCCTTCTGATTAATTGCAACTCTTGAATTTCGAATAGATGGAGAAATTTGAAGTTTGATCATTTGCGCTGAAATCTTGTTTGTGGATTCTGTTAATGAATCTTGGTTTTATGCAGCTTCAAGAGCTAGCTACTCAGTTAACTGATCTATGGAATCTCATGGATACTCCTGATGAGGAAAGGGAGCTTTTTGATCATGTTACCTGTAACATTTCAGCATCAGTTCATGAAGTGACTGCCTCTGGTGCTCTCGCACTTGATCTGATCGAACAGGTATTGTAAATTTATAATGTATCAATCAATGCATATAATAAGTAACTGCTTTTAAAATCTCCTGTGAACTCTTGAAGGCTGAGGTGAAAGTGGATAGGCTTGACCAACTGAAATCTAGCAGAATGAAGGAAATTGCATTCAAAAAGCAATCTGAGCTTGAGGAGATATATGCTCGTGCTCACATAGAAATAAAACCAGAGGTTGTTCGCGAGAGGATCATGTCGTTGATTGATGCTGGAAATACTGAACCTACTGAGCTACTGGCTGACATGGATAGCCAGATCGCAAAGGCCAAGGAAGAAGCCTTCAGTAGAAAAGAAATTTTGGACCGAGTCGAGAAATGGATGTCAGCTTGTGAGGAAGAGAGCTGGCTCGAAGACTACAATCGAGTATGCTAAAATTGGCAATGCTAATTAACACATAACTTAATAAGCATAAGTTTCAATGTGATGATTCTTTTTGGTTTTGTTCTGGAAAAACAGGATCAGAACAGGTATAGTGCAAGCCGAGGTGCGCATTTGAATCTCAAGAGAGCTGAGAAAGCTCGGATTCTGGTCAGCAAGATTACTGGTAACTTCCAAAATTCTCTCTTAGTTATCTGTACTAATAGAATTAAACTGAGACTGAATGATATATCATATTTTGTTTGTGCAAGCAATGGTTGACACATTGGTTGCTAAAACCCGGGCATGGGAAGAGGATAACAGTATGTCCTTTGAGTATGATGGTGTTCCTCTGCTCGCCATGCTAGATGAATACACTATGCTTAGGCAAGAACGAGAAGATGAGAAGCGGAGGCTGAAAGTAAGTTTTCTCATGCTATGATAATCTGATTCTTGAACCAAACTTCTTTTAAACTAATCTTGCCTTTTCATTAACAGGAACAGAAGAAGCAGCAAGAACAGCCACATACAGATCAAGACTCCGCCTTTGGGTCAAAACCAAGCCCTGCAAGACCCGTTAGTGCCAAGAAAACGGTGGGAACACGAGCCAACGGAGGAGGGCTCAACGAAACTCCTATTAGGCGTTTATCAATGAACTCAAGCCAGAACGGAAGCAAGTCGAAGAGAGACAGTCTGAACAAGATAGCTTCACCTTCGAACCTTGTAGCCAACACAAAAGAGGATGGTGCATCTCCAGTCTGTCGTGTTGACCCAGTGATGGCTTCACCGTGAGAATTATCAAAGAAAGAGAGTTGAAATGCTTACTTACACTTTTGGTAGTTGCTAATAGTGCTGTCTAAGAAACAAACACTTGAAACAAAGACATTGAGAGTAGAATGTTACTTAGATGTTTATGTCTCTGTATTCAGTGACTCAATTGTTTTTTCAGAAATGTCGTAGTTAAGCTTTGGTAGCATGACTAGTGTTGAACTTGAAGTGAAGTGACCGGTTTAGCTAAGGAAAGTCAGGGTTCTAATTGGAGTTACATAATTATATTTGGGCGAAGTTGTAATATACTTAAAGATGTTATGGGTGTGATCTAAAATTTTGAAAAGGTTGTGAAGAGATGTAAATATTAGAGAACTTGGATTTGGGATTTTAGAGGCCCTCTCTGCGACGTCGTTTATAGTTTGCAATCAGAAGCGCGTCAAATAAAGGAAAATTTCTTGAGCTCTTGTCTGTCTTAACAAATCAATCGGAGAAGAGAGAATCTATGTCGAACGCAAACGAACCAGCCAGGGCTCTTCTACCTTACCTGCAACGTGCCGACGAGCTGCAGAAGCATGAACCACTTGTTGCTTATTACTGTGAGTTTCGTTTTCTTATCCATTATGTAACCTAGATGATCGATTGAGAGTATTCATGATCCCTCTGTGCTAGTTTTTGTTCAGTTTGACTTCGTTTGGTGGGTTTTTTTTTGTAATCGCAATTTTTGTGATTGATGATTAGGTCGGCTATATGCCATGGAACGAGGATTGAAGATTCCGCAGAGCGAGAGAACTAAGACCACCAATTCGATTCTTATGTCTCTCATTAATCAACTTGAAAAGGTATTAACTTTAAGTTTTTAATTCTGAGTTTTTTCAGCTTGCTTGATTTTTGACATGTTTAGGATTGAACGAACTGATTCTTACATTGCAATCTCTGGTCATTCTCTCTGTTCTATAGTAGTTCCAGTTTCTTATGGCGATATTTTTTGTGTAACTCCAGGATAAGAAATCATTGAATCTGTCCCCAGATGATAATATGCATGTGGAGGGGTTTGCACTAAGTGTCTTTGCAAAGGCAGACAAGCAGGATCGTGCAGGAAGAGCTGACTTGTAAGAATTTTTTTGTGTCTTATGTTTTGATTGTCATATTGAATGGCATATGACAATGGTAAGTTTCTAATAATGTTAGGGTCACTGTCAACACGAGTTGAATTATCATGTTTCCGTAGATTCATTCTCTGTCTAGTATTATTTTGTTTGCCAATACTGGACATAGCATATAAGTAAGTACACACAATTAGTATTCGGTAGACATGTTTTTAGGTGATACTTTCCTCTTACATGTGACTTCGTTACAGAGGCTTGCCATGGATAATCCATATTAACTTTGTTGTGCTTGTGACAGGGGCACTGCCAAAACTTTTTATGCTGCGACAATCTTCTTTGAAATTCTGAGCCAGTTTGGCCCTGTACCTCCTGATGTGAGTTCCTACTTTTTTCATTCACTTAACATCTCAAACCGAAAACTAGCACCTTAAGAGGCAGCTGTGTTTGGAGATTGATATATGTATATGTAATGCCTCCCATTGACAGATAGAGCAGAAACAGAAGTATGCTGCTTGGAAGGCTGCTGACATAAGGAAAGCCATTAAAGAAGGAAGGAAGCCCACTCCAGGTGATCCTGTTGATGATGATAATGATTTATCCATCCCATCAAGCGGTCCTAGTGGCTCCTATGTAAGTTTCTCTTCTTGGAAATTTATGGGTTGGAAATATCTTGATATTGGCTTAGCGTGTATTCTGTCCATTAATATCGAAGATTGTTTTGGTGCGTAAATGTTTATAGAATTTGTATTACGCTGACTTTCTAGCTAGAGACACACAAATTCACACCCACTTGTGTACTTATAGGTTTTTGCTTTCTCAACTGTCGAAACACTATGATAGAACATCTGCATCAACTTAATCGATTCATCGTTTGTGTATGTTAATTATCTACAGGATCACGGTGCAAGTGATTCCAACTCATCAAGTCATCATAGAACAGAGCCTGATCCATCCCATGACTCGAATGATGACTCCAGCCACCATCACTTCCCTGAAGTGCCACAACACCCTCTACCTCCCAGGTTTCATGACAATCCTACCAACGATTATCCCATAGATGTCCCGCCTCCACCACCTTCTTCTTACCCTTCCAACGATCTCCATCCCCCTCCCACGGGACCATCAGACTCCCCTTACCAGCATCCTTACAGTCATCAACCATACCACCAAGACCCGTCACAACACATGCCGCCACCACAAAACTACTCAGCCCATGAGCCTTCTCCAAATTCTCTCCCCAATTTCCAATCTTATCCTAGCTTTAGTGAGAGCAGCCTCCCATCCACTCCTCCCCACTACCCTTCTCACTACCAAAACCCAGAACCTTACTATTCTTCTCCGCATTCCGCACCTGCTCCTTCTTCCACAAGCTTCTCCTCTGCTCCTCCTCCTCCACCTTACTCATCAAACGGGCGTATCAATATTGCTCCTGTGCTAGATCCTGCACCGAGTCCAGCTCAGAAGTACCATTACGACAGCAGCTACCAGCCAGGGCCTGAGAAGGTTGCAGAGGCACACAAAGCTGCTAGATTCGCGGTGGGAGCTTTGGCTTTTGATGAAGTCTCGACTGCTGTAGAACATCTCAAGAAGTCACTTGAGTTGCTAACAAATCCATCGGCCGGTGCCGGTCACTGAATTTAATATTTAATCTATGAAACTTGGGGTTGTTGTTAGTGTGTGTGTGTGCTGACAATCACATCGTGGGTTTGGTTATTTAACTTTTCAGGCTCAGACTTCGTGTACAAAGAAAAATTGTGTGAATTATTCTTTTTTTTTTTATTTTTTTTTCATCGTGAATTATTCTTATTATCATAAACTTTTCCTTGCAACTTAGTGTGGATACATACATAGGCACAAACAGTAAATAATGGAGTTCCAATGATCAGGCCATCAGGGCACGAAATTAAGTTTTCTTCCTTTTGTATTACTCTTCAGTCTTCACGTAGAGAGCGAGTGTGGGACACGCACTCATGTAGCGGATGGTGTTAGTACTCGAGGTTGGGCCTATATAAAAAAAAGCCCATAGAGGCCCGAATTACTGAATTTAAATTTAGCAGACAAGAAATTGATGAAACATGGAAGTAAACGTGTCTCTAGAGTCATGTCAAGTGTAAGACAGAGGAAGAGAGAAGAGAGGTGCGTCAAAGACAAGCAAAAGAGATGTCAATCGCTGCTTTCGTAGGCGCGTGCATGTCCGCCACGCACATCAATCAAATCCATTCTTATTATTATTACCTCATTGTACTCTTTTCTCTAAACAAACACGTACATTGCATTCATTCTAGAGAGAGAGATGGGCTCGAAGACGGAGATGATGGAGAGAGACGCAATGGCTACGGTGGCTCCCTATGCGCCGGTCACTTACCATCGCCGTGCTCGCGTTGACTTGGATGATAGACTTCCTAAACCTTGTAACACCTTTCTCTCTACTTTTTATGCCTCATTGTTGTCAATACACGTATATACATATCACATATGCATGCGTAGATATTTGATATATGGTTAAATAAAAGAAACCCTTTTGGATAGAAGGAATTATCAACCCTCAAGTTTTTTGAATGCATATAGATTATAGACTCTATATGCATGTTATGATGTTCATGATCTTAAATCTTATAGAAGCTATAAATTGTAAATTGATATATATACATATATTTATTCACGTATATGATGGTAATCAATAATGTATTTATTACACATGAACGTGCATGAATAATTGTATACACACATTACACATACGTGGAAATTATACAGATTTTGATCTTTATAGATATATATACGTTATGCATAGATATGCCAAGAGCATTGCAAGCACCAGACAGAGAACATCCGTACGGAACCCCAGGCCATAAGAATTACGGACTTAGTGTTCTTCAACAGCATGTCTCCTTCTTCGATATGGATGATAATGGCATCATCTACCCTTGGGAGACCTACTCTGGTATGTCTATACTAGTATATATATAGATATTTTAACTTTCATCTTTTTTCGTTAGTGCACGTATAAAAATTTGATTTCAACCTGTGTTTAGGACTGCGAATGCTTGGTTTCAATATCATTGGCTCGCTTATAATAGCAGCTGTTATCAACCTGACCCTTAGCTATGCTACTCTTCCGGTAACACCTCTCGTCCTCTGATGACATATATCGAAATTTTTTGACTGATTTTACTCGACTCAGAAATTATTGTGATCGATCATCCAAGATCGATGTTCATTTTGTTAGTGTACGACCTGATTATGCAGGGGTGGTTACCTTCACCTTTCTTCCCTATATACATACACAACATACACAAGTCCAAGCATGGAAGCGACTCAAAAACATATGACAATGAAGGGAGGTGAGTGACCATTATCTTGAAAAATCGGTTAATTGATAGAAAATATGATGATTGATGCATATGGTTTAACGTCCGTATGCTTTTCAGGTTTATGCCGGTGAATCTTGAGTTGATATTTAGCAAATATGCGAAAACCTTGCCAGATAAGTTGAGTCTTGGAGAACTATGGGAGATGACAGAAGGAAACCGTGACGCTTGGGACATTTTCGGATGGTACAATCACAGCATAAGGCCATAAGCCTTCCTTTTCTCACCCTTTAACTAGTTTATTGAATGCATGTGCATGTTAAAGTAAAGTACTAATTAATGTTGTTGTAATTCTAATGTTTGGGTCTACATATGTTTTATGTATTAGGATCGCAGGCAAAATAGAGTGGGGACTCTTGTACTTGCTAGCAAGGGATGAAGAAGGGTTTTTGTCAAAAGAAGCGATTAGGCGGTGTTTCGATGGAAGCTTGTTCGAGTACTGCGCCAAGATCTACGCCGGTATCAGTGAAGACAAGACAGCCTACTACTAAAGGTATCCTTTATGTTAAGTAATTGATCGAGCCATTTTAGGCTAATAATCGATCAATGTGAAACTTGTGCCTATACGGTAAATGAAGGCTCAGGTAGTAGTACGGACTCTTGGCCTAAGAGATCTATGTTTGTTTTGTTTTTGTCAAATTCTGTATGGTATACTCTATAGAAAAGCTTCTGTATGTTTTGTTGCCATAGTCTCTGTTTGTACCAACCCTTTTTCAGTTATTTCCAATTTTACACTTTTAGTTATTATTGCCAACTTACTCTATAGTAGTGTAACGAAAATATGTGTTCACATAAACAAAATCTTTAGTAAGAGCCTTAAACAAAAAGAAATCTGCTTATACATTTTATTCACCAATCAGAATAATTTTTCTTTTCCAGAATACAAAATGACCAAAGACCTTAATATTTTGCTTAACTTACAAATAGTACAATGGAGCTCTTAAAGATTGAAGCATGAACGTCACTTAATCACACTAAACTAAGACTATTTAAAAGTAGTTAAAAATTCTTTACTTGTTTCAAAAGCGACCAAAAAAGTTCATACTTTTGTTTTTGATAGGAGACCAACGTCAAAAAGAAGATATTCACCTGTAGAAAGGTTTTGTTGTGGATCTTGAACTCGCAACAAACATTGCAGCTTCCCTCAACAAACATTGGTTTAGCATCGAAAACAAATATGGTCATGGTCTTTGAACAATGTTACCACATAATCTGTTGAAACTCCTGTTTGTCTAACATGGAAGTGAAATTCAACAGACACAAATCTCATTAACTCAAATTTAGCTCCACTCTATGAACATTGAAGCAGTTTTCTGAGAATCCAGAAAGGACCAATGAACCAACGCAATCAAAAGAGAAGAATACAAACTAAAACACCTCATGTCGGAGAGTCTTGAACTTTGAATAGTATACTAGTCCTTTTGGATCCTTCTAAGGTTACATTAGCAACATCAACGACTTTCGATTTATGAAAAAGCCTAGCAATGTCTCTAACATCATCTCCACCACATTCATCAACCGCAACCACACAAAACCCACCGCGTCGCACAGTCCTCTCCATTTCCTCCACGAACCGCCACGGAAACAGAGCTTCAGCTAGATGTGCAGTGAAGGCAAAATCAAAAACACCGTCGAAAAACGGAAGGTTATGAGGATCAGCTCTTTTCACAAGAGGAATCGAATCAACCAATTCAACGGCGGTAACGTCAGCTAATCCGATATTAGAAAGCGCCATCGGAGCGTGGCCTGCGCCGGCGGAGAGACAGAGAGCTTTGGTGTGCTTTTGAAGGAATCCGAGATCGCGAAATCGGAGGAAGTAATTTGAGAAGGAGGAGAGACGCGATTTCCAAGCTTTAGAGGACCAGATTCGAGCGTTCTTCTTTGGGAGAGGAAGATGCTGACGAGGCGATGAATCGCAGGTGGATCTCGGAAAATGCGTATGAGGTTTCGATGGAGCTTCTGGTGAAATACAAGTTTTCGGCGTCTGGAGAATCATAATCACCATTAACACTGTTCCGATGCTTATGAACACGACTGATACTCTGTTTAGCATCTTCTCGACGTTTCTCTCCATCGTCGCCGATCAAAAACTCCGATTGCCGTTATCTTCTCTGCACTGATGCGGTGCGCGTGGGACGTACTCGCCGTGGAGGAATTCCGAAAAATGGCCGTTTCAGTATACGTGGGCCGGGCCTTATATTGTAGGCTCATTATGTGAAGTTATAACATTCTGGGCGAATGTGTAATTTCAGAAAAGAAGTGGGGCGATTTTGAATATAATCGAAAACATAAGGAGGGAAAAAGCATTCCTGCGGAGAGGAGCTAACCTCTCTCCTGGGGAAGAAGACGACGAACTTAATACATTCGAGAGTAGAGAATTTTCAGATTTTTTTGGCGAAGTTTTGGTTGATTACTTCTGATTCATCAGATTAAGGATCGTTTCCGGTGACTGAAGAGGAATAGGAGGAGGAAGAAGAGGAGAGGAGAGGTGAAAATGTCAGACCTAGATCGGCAGATAGAGCAGCTGAAGCGATGCGAACCATTGAGCGAATCGGAGGTGAAGGCTCTTTGCCTCAAAGCCATGGAAATTCTTGTTGAAGAAAGTAATGTTCAAAGAGTTGACGCCCCTGTCACTGTGAGTTCTTGATTTACCTTACTTCTCTCGATCTGGGATTCGGATTCATCTCCAGCTAGCTAGAAAGATTTGGATTTCTTCTATCTTGAAAGTAGAATTATGAGCTTATTAATCAAGAAACTTGAAGAAATTAGGCGTGGGGATTTCGGGTCTTTGAAATTTTGATTCGTGATCTTTTATCAAATGGTATTCATTCGTAGAAAATCCAGTGAACGACTTGTTTTTGTTTCTTCCCATTGTTACAAGTCTAAAGATTTCATGGGCAGTGAAGTTATAGCGTTAAGAAGTGAGAGTAGATACTAGTATCGATGTTCTTATGATTTGCAAGAATTGCTAATCCTTGGAATTTTGTCTTTCTTTTCCATTGGGATAGTTATGTGGTGACATCCATGGGCAGTTCTATGACATGATGGAGCTTTTCAAAGTTGGGGGTGATTGTCCTAAGACCAACTATTTGTTTATGGGAGACTTTGTTGATCGTGGATATTATTCAGTTGAGACATTTCTACTTCTACTCGCACTCAAGGTATCTCTCAGGACTGTGTTTTAATTTGTTGTGGTTTATGTTACTTTTCATAATCGTTTCTGCTAAATGGGTTCTTAGAATCACTTATGTAGATTGCTTTGATATTCTTAGGTTAGATATCCAGACCGCATAACTCTCATCAGAGGAAACCATGAAAGCAGGCAGATCACACAGGTGAAGGCAGTCTCATTTGAAAATTTGCTTTTGTGTATATATATTCAGACTATTCATACAGTCTGCTTTTAGTAGGTTTATGGATTTTATGATGAGTGTTTGCGTAAATATGGCTCTTCAAATGTCTGGAGATACTGCACCGACATTTTTGACTACATGAGGTACACTCCAAGCAGCATTTCACTTTCTCTATGTTCAGTTTTTGGCTTGTCTTTGGAATGATCCGACTCTTTACTCTGTCTTTGTTATATGCACAAAAGTCTTTCAGCTGTTGTGGAGAACAAGATATTCTGTGTTCATGGTGGTCTCTCTCCAGCTATTATGACTCTTGATCAGGTTGATATTAGAGCTCTCTCTACTGATTATTAAAAGTTTCCAACTAGAATGAGCTGACTGACGGAACCATACCTTTATGGCAGATTAGGACAATTGACCGGAAGCAAGAAGTACCACATGATGGTGCCATGTGTGACCTCCTATGGTCTGATCCTGAAGATATTGTTGATGGCTGGGGATTGAGCCCTCGTGGTGCCGGATTCCTTTTTGGTGGCAGTGTTGTCACGTCTTTTAACCACTCAAACAACATAGACTACATAGCCCGAGCCCATCAACTAGTTATGGAGGGTTACAAATGGATGTTTGATAGCCAGATTGTGACAGTGTGGTCAGCCCCGAATTACTGTTACAGGTAAATAAGATTCTCAGAGCCGTCTGTTTCGGTCTATGTATCTTCTTTTCTTTTAGCTTGATTTTTGCATTTACTACCATTTCACTTATGCTCCAGATGCGGTAATGTGGCTTCGATTCTAGAGCTCGACGAGAATCTAAATAAAGAATTCCGTGTGTTCGATGCAGCCCAGCAGGTATGACCCTTTTAGTTATATGTTACTTCCCGTTCTGATTCCCGAGGAGCAGATCAGTAGACTGACATATTCTAAATGCAGGACTCGAGAGGGCCTCCTGCCAAAAAACCTGCCCCTGATTACTTCCTATAATGGACAAAACTTCGAAAACCCTATTCCCAAAGTAGAGCTAGCGTCGATTCAACTCCGTTGAAGAGAAGAGAATTACAATTTGTTGAGTGTTTAGGTCGCAGTGCAGAAGAATATACAATACAGTTGTTTCAGGCGATTTCTACCTAGGCCACGGGGACTGATCGAACTGGGGTTGTCTAAAAAAGATATTGTTGTTTCCGGTTTTGGTGTAATTGTAGGCAAAAGAGTGCTTGTGTATTGGTAGTTAAAGAGTGATTTTGCCCTGATTCAAGTTTGTACTTTCTTAGGAGATAAGACCTCAAAACAGTTTTGGAGCTCACAGTTATTTCAGTATAATTCCACAGGGAACCATTAGGACAATTTGACAGCCATGTCAGATCGAATTGGTTCATGGTTGGTCTATTGCCGTTTGATAGAAACTTGCCAAGAACAATAAGAAAATCCCAAAATTCCTTGGTAGAAGATGAAGATGGGAAATGGCGAATATTCTGACCAAATGTTTATTTCATCAACAATACACTCACTCTCTGGTTTAGTCTTTGAGTATATGAAGACTGTTCAAGAATTGAATGAGAGACAAAAGAGTCAACAGTAAAGAGGGGAAGAGTTTCGGTTGTTCCACACCGGGATAAGAATTACAAAGGGGAAAACAAATATGTTTGAAGAGGATACAGAAAGAGCAGCAGGGCTCTTACTCAAATTTGTGCATTGATTTCCTAGTTTAAGAACATGGATGGGTTCTTGTTTGAGTAGATTAGTTTCTACTCTACCTCGCTTAGGATAGGGACAATGAGAGGCTTCATCTGCGCAATGTAAACAATTGCCCACCTGCCAATGCGAAGAAAGAAAAACGATGCAAAGATAAATTAATCGCATATAAGGACATTTGCACAGCGTTTAGTAGAAGGCCAATAATGTTCATGTTTTAGAAGCTTTCTGTTAACATGAATGCTAATTCATTGACTTGAGATAAGTTCAACAGATAAAAGACTGATATCCACCTAGAACTGTCAAGATATTACATTGTTCTATCAACAAGAAAAATGGAAGTAGTAAAGCCAAGAAGGATCTCTATCCTGATAGTTTGATGGTTAATGTTGATGAAGGTGAGGCAACAATCAAACAAGAGAGGGTTGGATAAACAAATAATGGGTTGGATACAAATCAAAGGAACCATGGTTGTGAATGCAAACCAGTGGCTAGCAAGTAAAGGAAAAATAGTGCATCAAATCATAAACTTACATCATCCAACAGCAGACAGTAGCGGTGATGACCAAGGTAAGATGTAGCCTGTTTCATAGAAACAAGACAAAGACTTGAGATATTTACTCCAATTATCAAATGTGTGTCCAAGCAAAGAAGTACAGAAGAAGTAGCCGGATGAAAGATAAGAAAGAAGGCAATCATAATAAGAGAAACTTTTTCCAGCACAAGAGTAAGAATCGTGACACTAGTTGTTCTCATTGAAGAAACTATCACAGGAAGGAAATTCAGAAAAAAATTAGGAGATTCCTCAAAAGTCAATCAGCAGATTAGATTTGGTCTACCAGTTATCGATTCTAAGCGTAAAAAGATAAATTGATAATTCGAGCTACTCAATTGATGCCGGAGAACCAAACCTTTGCACATTCACCTCGACGAAGCAATCGATCAAACACATACATACCTACGGCAAAATGATGACTTAAACAAAAGAGGAATGAAGTAAACATACAGATTGGTGGAGGGGCCTTTGTTGAAGCAGATTCTAGTGCAGATTGAAGCAATGATGCCGACGACAGCGAATATTAGAGATGTTACAAGAAAAGCCATGTCTGATCCCAAATGAGATATATATATATCCTGCGACGAGAATTACAGAAATCAAAAGCGATCGGGAGATTTCGATTGAAAGAGAGACAAGTTGTTTTGCAGAGATCTCACGGGTTGGAATTGAAGCTCCTCGAGGAAGAGGATGATAGAGGATCGTCGCTAATCGTATTCGTGCGAAGTGATCTCTGTCAACAAGGCCCCAGATTTTCTCAGGGGCATTTTTGGCTTTTGTATCTCTATTAAATATCAGTTATCCAATTTCTTCATGTCAAATTTCGTTAAAATCTTGTTGATTCCAATTTGAAATTTGATAAAAACTTTTTTCCTGCTAAAGAAACAAAATTTGGAAAAATTATTGTGCAAGTCATTTTTTGCGCAAGATTTATCTTTTTTTTTTTTTTTTTTTTAATAAATTTACACCAAAAAAACCAGTGTTACATCAAGTGCATCTTTTTTTGAGGTTTTTGACATTGAGTTTACAATTTAAAACTTAGTGGAAAGCCAAAATGTGAAAAGGTCTTCATACTTTGCGTTTCCGGTTTTTCGAAGAAGAGTGATCCGGTTGCGAATGTTCTTGTCGATGGTTTTCCCAAAGATCGATGCTGTGATAGGGTCTTCTCCATGCCGTCGATTGTTCCTCTCTCTCCATAAGGTGTGGACTGCGATTTGAAAGGCATATCGCAGAAGCAAACGTGCCTTCTGTTTGAGCGTGTTACTTGAAATGAGCAACATGAGTTGATCCCACTCCAATGTGTATATGTTTTGAAGTAATCCCTTTGCCAATGTCTCCCAAATCTGTCTTGAATAGCTGCACCGGAAGAAAAGGTGGTTTCTTGTTTCTACCGGTTCATCGCAGAGTTTACACGAGACGTCTACTTGTGCATTCCACTTCCCCATACGAACCCCCGTAGTTAATCTGTCATGCATTGCAAGCCACGTGATGAAGGCATATTTTGGTGTAGCTTCGGAGAACCAAACTCCCTTAGCCCAACTGCAGATAGGTTGCTCTACTTTCAAGAGTTTCCAAGTCTCATTTGAAGAGAATTTCCTTTTAAAACCTGTTTTCCATCTCCATAAATTCACATCATCCTCCTCTGGTTTCCTCTTTAATCTTATTTCTTCTATTTCAACTTCAACCTTATTGAGATTTTCCACACGGTGCGGTCTTCCTTTGATTTTTTCTTTTTCTTCTATCGTTCCAATTTTTTTATAATTTTCTTTTTGTAAAATGTAAACATATATGGAATAAAATCTGAATTGGTCTTTGGTGTTTGTAAAGATTGTGATTCTGTTTCAATAAAACAGACTAAATCAAATTCAAGCAAACATTGAAAGATTGTACTATATAAGAAAAACAAACACATGATCTCAACTAAAGATACAAACAAAAAGAGTTTATTCAATTTCATTTTTCCAATGACTAAATTTCAAGAAATTAAAATATATATATTTTTAACTATATAAACGTATAGTGTAGCCTGCTTGCTCAGTTTGAGAAATTCTCATCAGCTGCTGCTGCTGCAGTGCATATTAGAATGTGAAGTGAGGTTCTACGTCCATTGCCCACGCAAATTTCTCCAGCAGAGACTTGTTGAATATCTATATTAACGAAAAACCAGCCATTAAAAAAAACTTTATATATAAGAGGTCTCTCTTTGTTTCTTGTTAGATCAATGCATTATTATTTAAGTTTTGTATAACTACCTTTTCAATGGGTACTTCATGGCGTTTGCACCACGCGACCGTGATCCTAGGATCCATGTAGTTGATCTTAGACGTGCCCAGCGCCACGGTTTTCAAGTCCTCCTTTGTCTGCATGTCTCCTTCCATCTTCTCTATCTTCATCTTCTGTTGAGCTATCTTCTTCTCCCACCTACATTTATTTTTACATCATACTTTAAAAACAGTTTAATCTAGTTTTCAAGTCTCTGTGTAAGTGAGAGAAGGTTTGTTTTATGTTTTACGCTTCTGGAGTTATGTTTCTTGTTTTCTTTCCATCTGAACCTTCCAATGGAGATTTTCCCTTTTTAGCCCTCTCCAAATTGTTTTTGAGTTCTTTAAGACCCTCCTGTGTCAAAAAATCAAATGATGATGAAAATCAAATCATATTTTGGTCTTCAGATCTTATGTACAGTAGGCAGATTTTTACCTTGAGTTCTTCTATTTTTCCAGCCAATCTCTGGATTTGTGCACCGTGAGACTTTGAAACGGTACGCTGGTGATTACAAATTAACGCTACCTCCTTGTTTGCTTGCTGATAAACTACTACTTTCTGTTTAACATCACCCTCTCTGGTTTCTTGCCTCAACTGTCACAGCATCCAAATAGAACACAACAGTCAAAATTGTAACACAAGACTAAGGTAGATTCGACAATCGGTTTTGGATCATACCATTACATCCAGCGTGATGGATGCATTGTAAGTACGGAATACTTTAGCTGTGAGGCCAGTTACAAGCTCCTTAAGATGAGCATTCAGTTTGCTTGTGTCTAACTCATCAAAAAGATCGTCTGAATTTGATTTACCTAAAGTGATTAAACAAAAGAAACCAATCATTGGTTAAACCATGAGATACGATCAAATACTGTGTAACACTCAAAGATCAAGTCCATAACTCACCAGCCCGGAACTGTGCAATGGCTTTGTAAACAAGAGGTTCAACTTCGACGGTATTCACATATTGGATTGAATCTTTACCAAGGAAGTCAAACTAAATACATATTGGAAGAAACAAGTAAAAGTTTGTAAGACTAACAAATGTGTCAAGACTCAAGATCAAGAGGAGATTACATAATATGCACTTTTAGGGATTCATATGATACCTTTAGCTTATTTGGAGGAACACACTCCACATTTCCTACTTTTAATGTACAGCAACCAACTGTGTCCGCCTCATCATCATCCTTCCCCAGAACAAAAAACCATATGAAAATCTCTTTATGCATACTTGTAATCATTCACTTAGCAAAAATCAGATGTTACATATTACCTTCTCATTTCCAGCTCTAAGTGCCAATTTATCAATGAGATAGGTAGCCACAGCTATTTGTCGATTTGAAACATCCTTGGCAGTAAAATTCTTGGTGTACGTTGCTCTTATATTTTCTATGTGGTCCTGAATTCAAAACAAAAATGTGTAGCGAAGAAAGGAAAGTGTGATAAACTAAACCACAAACTTCCTTCAAAAAGAAACCTGACTTATTAATACCTTAAGATTCCTGGCTTTCTCATACTTCTTCTTGTCGCTTTGACCTTTCTGTGAACTGCTAGCTGACAGAGAAACATACTTGTAGCGTCCCGGGTGAATAGGATCTTTCCAGATAGCTAGCCAGATGACTGTGTTATCATGCTTTACTTCTTTCCATCTGCAAAATTAGTAGCATCTATCATTGTTAGCATAATACTATTAACATTTTCAGAAAAAACCATGGAAGAATATGACCGACCTTTCACCAGGGATGGGACATTCAGGTATAGGAGCATCTTTCCCGATATTTAGAGTGATGTCACTAGGATATATACGCCTTTTCAATTTTCCTATCTGAACACACAATAATTGCATTTTAGTTGAAGAAACCAAAAGCAAAATGCAACTTGGTAATGAACTATCATGCATGGACGAAAAACAAAGCTATAGCAACCTTGGGATGTTCTCCTCGACCTCGGAATAGCCCGGGAGGTTCTACACTGAAATTCCCAACCTGAAAAGAGAGAAAAATGTCACAGTAACTAAACCTATCCCAAAAAAAATGGAGGACACATGCGATGAGGAAGCTTACCTTCTCTTTGACACCGTCCACAACAGCCCACATATATTTCTCCCCCTGTTTCGGGTTTTTCTCTGGCGAAGCTTTTTTCTTCTGCACATTATCAAAGAAATGATATACTGAGAATTTTCGAATGGAAAAAAGTGTAGATGAAAGATGAATTTATCTAAACAACAAGACAAGTTAAACTGAGATCATCATCCTAAAGCAATATGAATTGGTTGTTAAGTGCAAGAACTTTACCTTCTTTTCTTCCAAATGCCAATCATATATTGGTGTAAAGTCACAATCATCCAGCTTCTGTATCACATGATTCTTGCCAAGTAGTTTTCGCCAATCATTCCAGAAATTTTCCCTAAATCGAGGTTTATTATAAAAGTCTGTCTCTCTCATCACAGCAAACATCGTTGCAACCTACAAGTAAAAAGAAGCAAATCATAAGCACAAAATGAAGATTCTCCCTTCGAAGATCTTTTAAAAATCACAGAAGAAAACACTCTAGATATCGACTAATAGTACTGAGGGCATGGATGGAGGGGTAACCTCTTCTTGGTCAGGAGATAAGTTGACTGGATTCCCCTTATATAAAATCTGAACCCCATGAGGTTTATATGGAGGTGGAAAAGTGACACCATTGTGTACCAAGGTTGTCCATTTCTTTTTACCATCGCCAGTAGGTAAGGTTTTTGAACTCTTAGCAAACTTAGATTCGTTCATCACTTTCTTGGACTTTTTGCTCCTTGTCTTGGACGGAGGAGAAACTACTCTTTTCACTTTGGACTTCGTAGCTGATGAAGTAGAACTCTGTTTTACCACTTTAGGCTTTGCAGAGGGTGTTTTATACTTGGAGGATTCTGACTTGATTCTCTTGGCAATGGGAACATCATCATCATCATCATCATCATCTTCAGTTTCATCTTCTTTGACTGACAATTTTTTAGGTGATACTTCAACCTTCCTCTTATCACCTAGTTTTTTCAAAGAATCTTGTTTCATGGCAACTGACGTAGATGAAGATGATACCTTGAGCTTCTTCATAGAAGATTGATCTGCAGAACTGCTCTTCTCCAGAATTCTCTTGCCAGATACCTTGGAACATTCATGCTCAAGTGTGGAGCCATTCTTCAACTTATTAACCAAAGATTTATTTTCATCAGTAGAGTCTTGTTTGCTACCTGAAACCCCATTACCATTCTTCTTTCGAAACCTTGACGATATTGGAGCTTCATCATCATCAGACTCATCTTTAATAATTTCACTTGGCCTATCCAAAGGGGAATTCCTGAAAAGTATTGAGCTTAAAGGTCTAACATCCTCAGAATCTCCATTATCACTTCTCTTGAACACTATAGGCTTATCATCACCGTCATCACTATGCCCATCATGTGCAGCCTCAGTGGCCATACCCGAAGATATTATGTTAACAAATACTCCGACCAAACTTAACTTCTGATAAATAGACAAAACAAACAAAAATAGAAAATGTCAGAGGTTCCAAATAAAGCAAGATTTTTGACTATAGCAACGACTACAGAGCTTCAAAATAATAAAGCCAATCATAACCACAAGGGACCAAAGCAAACAATTTTCATCGTAGGTGTTCATATATCACTATGCATTATTCCAATACGCAACCGTACGCATCAAGGTAACTTATAATTCTACAAGAGTGTCACCTACGTCTTCTATGTCCCTCCATGAAAAAAATATCTAAACAGAGACTTCTCTATAAATAATTTACTACATCAGGCATGGAAATTTGATATTAGTGTGCAATAGAATTTTTTTTAAAAACCCCAAATTCATACATGAAAACCCCTATTTTGTGTTAAAACACCACAATGATGAAAATTTGTGCTGAATCAAATCAAATTGGATTTGTAGAATTCAAAGATTACTCAAGAAACGAAAATTTTTTCGATTAACCTACCTCCTTGTCTCTCTTTCTTCTCTCCTTGTAAGTTTTGTTGGTCTCTCCTTCGCTTCCAATGCCGAATAACGCTGAGAGCCTAAGGCATGGAGAGACTCTCTCTCGTAAAGAGGCTTTTATCTATTGGCGGTTTCAACTCTCCACGACGTCGTATCAACTCGCGCGCTTTTAACCTAACCGACCTATTTCAGTTGATGTACATATTTCTTAATTACACAAGGTTAAATAAATCTTCGAAATACTTGAAAAAATAAAGATTGGCTTCATGCGCCTTCATCGTTTTGGGGTCAAAATGTTTTATTTTATTTGTAAAGGGAACAAACACAAATATCCACAAATACAGATTACAGAGAAGTCACTATTACAAAAGCTACTTTGCTCTACCAAGAGATGTATATGTATGATATATCTCGCTCTCTCTATTCGATGGATGCTTCCTCTGAGATAGTGGTGATGTCTGAAACCGCATCTGCATCGTTATCATCAACGGCCAAGCTCGAGACTTCACTCCTCAATGAGGAGACTTCCTCCTCTTCTGTGACTGATGGGGCAGGGGACGCGGCTGTGCTGGTGCACGTCGTTGTGGTGCTCTGAGTTGACGACGAATCTGAAATCTCTGGTGAATGTCTCTGAAGACTCCAGTACATTATACTTGCCGTTAAGATTAGGATCATCTTCTGATTCACCTGTCACAACATCCCAAAACACATCTCATCTAGACAATTGCTGTTTCGGCTATATACCAGAGAATAATTACATCATAGATCTTGGTTCGTACCTCCACAATATCTTCAGGCAACAAGAAAACCGAACAACCGAGCTTTCTTGCGACGCTAACTATGTATGTAGCATTCAACCTTTTCTCATCATCTGTATGTTTCAATAACCATAAAGGCCAAATAAGCTTTGATTCGGGTGAACAGAGAAAGTAACTAGACCCTAGTAAAAAGAGTAGTGAACCTGTTTCACCCTTGGTGACAAGATTCCAGTTTACAACTCTGGGCTCAACCGCCCATAAAAGGTTGAGGAAGAATAGCCCGCTCGATAGACTCTTGTCCTGGAGAATTTTAATTTGATTCACTAGAAGGTGATGGGTGGACATATTTTATAAATAGTATTGTGGTAAGTGTTTGAAGTAATTGTAAAGAAAGAAACCTTGAAACTCTCGATTTGGAATTTTCGCCCCATGGTTCGTACTTTCCTGTTGGCCCAGCTGAGGATATCCGCATCAGTCATCTCTTTACCTTGTGTCCGAGATCGGAGACTCTTGAGAAGTTGGAGCATATGGAATCTCATCAACTGCCATAAGAGACCTGAGATAGACAACCATATCTCTAGTTTGTAAGGCGATCATCTTCTTGCATCAAGCTAAGAAAACTGAAACATGAGCTCTCGGGTAATGATTACCAAGAATGAGTTTCTTATTCCCTTGAACTATGTCATTTCCAGCTACATTCACAAGTGAGAATTTTAGCTGTTTCCCGATCTTTACGACTTGATTGCAGTTCTCTACTTTTCTAAACGGCATCTTAATAGGCGGTTTGGAAGCATGCTTCCAGTTGACTGAACCGGGAGAGATCTTGTCAAGAACTTCAAGAAGAATCCATCTGCATAAAATAGTAAATAGAACCAGCAAAAGGCTTCAGGACCAAAGAGCGTTTTCAGTATTTTCCAAATGCAACATCATCAACTGCAGGTACAATTTCTACTAGTTGCTTGCTTTACTATAAGCTAAAAATATAGCTTACCCATTTCTAACATCTTCAAATACATTATTGACATAACTGCCAATCCCGAGGCTGTTGATCCATAGCCGGTAGCATCGTTCCTCTCTACAAGTCTGTACATCTTCGGTCATCATCTCCGCAAATGAATACTTACCATCGGTATTTAGACCATTCCTGCAAGAGGTACAGACAGCTAGAGTAAAATCGGCTGCATAGAAAACAAAACAATTAACATCTTAAGTGGAAAAATCTCCAGGTAAAGGGATTTCAGGTAAGAAGCTTATGCGTCATTGGTAATAGCATTGTATGAAAAGTTGAAAACTATTTCCCCATTCTTTTTTCTGTAACATTCAAAAGTTTGTTCTTTGATTAAACCATCACCAGCCTAATCAAACAGGACAAGCCATCATCTACAAATTTTTTGAGAGATGAAAGTGTATCACGATACAAACCTTTCATGGAATATTTGTGCCACAAAGGCAAGATTCAAAGTTGGAGATCCTTCAACGATCTCTTCTGCAGTCAAGTATCGCTTGCAGTTCATTCTCTCTGCATGACTGAGAACCAGTTCAGCCCTTTCAAGAGGATCCTTTGCATCTAGTGTAGCCGGGTCACAGTGTTCAGGTGCCAGAACATTGAGCAGCAAGGCATAGGCTTGTGCATCCTGCAGATTTACCAGCAACACGCTTTATCATAGAGAAAACTTAATGAGGAACAAATTGCATTCGTGAAATAACGAAAACCTTGAGTAAGAATAAAATTTCTGTTTCTTTTATGGCTTATATAGTTCATATTATTTCTCTTATTCAAGAATAGATATTGCTTCTGCATGTTGAAAGGAACAGTAGCACGTAAGTACTATCTTGAATTGAGGATCGCCTAACTAAAGATTTGGATAAGCAGAGAAGAGAGGTTTCATCCAAGTTGTACTTTGAGAAGCCAAATACCTTCAAATCTGCGGAAAAGTTCGAGACAGTTTTCTTGTAACCCCCTTTCTTAAGATGGAAGTTCATCCATTTCAGTAAGACTTTCTCAGGGGGTAATCTCAGCAACTCCTCGACATCCTGCAACAGAGAGAAACTTGTTATCACTTATTATTTTACAAGACACATATACATGGCTGAAAATGTGATTGATATAAGATCACTTACATCGCTGTCCTCAACCAACTCAACAAGCTGAGGCGTCTTCTTTAAATTGAGATCAGCTAGTAGTTGAATCTGCAGTTACCAGCATTATTTAGTTAATACTCGAGCCCAAAAATGAAAACTAAGATATACAGATCGGACAAGTAGATGTGTGCGGACCTTTATCAGTTGTGAAATCAATCCAAGCACCAGGTGAGGCTGCAAAAGATCATAAAAGCTCCCTGGTCAGAACGGTGCACATTCATCTCAGCCATTAGGCCAGTAAAAACATAAATTACACTTATTGATGTGTGTCGAAATTTGTTCAAATGTACACTGAATACTAAGCACGACAAAACATACCCGTCCTTCGGCCAGGTCCTGTGTGCCAATATTAACAACAGAGCATCCAACAGCTTTAGCAGAGTTTAGACAAAGCGTGTGATTCTCATTTCTCTCCCACGGATTAAGTACCCTCTTCGTGTTGATCGCTCGTTCATCTATTGTCCCAGGAACTGCTACATTTATAAGCTTACTACGCCGAAAAAGAAAGGGAGAGAAAAACGTGAAAGGCAGAACTCAGATGCATTGAGTGTCAAGATGGACTCAACACATATTAATGTGCACCTTACCAAAGAAGTACACCATCTTTCACAAGTTCATACAATTCATTAGAATGAGGGTCAAGAGGAAGGAACTGCTTCAAAAAGGGGTCATCCTTAAGATATCTATTGATGTGCTGAACAAAAGAACCCTTCTCCGACTGATATATAGTGTGAAGAAGTGTCGTTGTACAAGATTTAAGAAACGAGGATGAGTTCTTATGACCACCAGATTTCTCAGCTGCTTTACTTAGTAAGTTGAGATATATCTGCACATAAGGATCAGTCCAAAAAAACCACAATATATATATATGTATCATATTCATACTCAGTCCAAAACTCGATTCACCAATGAAACGTAGAAGCTCCACATACCTTGAGAAACTCTTCAAAACTCACATCAGTGCTTGTATCAGAACCCAATTCCCCTAGTATCCCCTTGATTTCATCCTCCTTAAATGTTGCACTAAGTGCCTTGAGCTTTGCCAATAGAGGAGGGAGATATTCAATAGTGATCTTTCCACTCTGATTCTTCATCGACACATACTACACCACAAATCAAACGAGTTTCATCCATTGCATACAAGACATGTATATATAAAGGACGAACAGTGAAAAAGAAGAAACCTTGGAATTGAGAGTCCGAAGTTCGACTTGAGTGAACTGGCTCTGTAGCCATGGATCCGAAACGACAACACCCACGAAACCAGACATCTCTCACTGTTTTACCATTCACAGGGAAAGAAAGTTTCAATCTTTCCCCACAAAATCACGCCAAAACCCAGAATCTCCTAAAACCCACGAATATAGAAAGCCTCCGTTCGATTCTCCCAGGAAAAGGATTCACTCTAAGCTCCAGGCATCGAAGCTCAGGTAATTTGACGATTTTAATCTGTGGCCGAGAAAAAAAGAAACAAAATATCACCGATTTGACGATTTGTCCTTAATATAGCAAGAGATTGATTCATATCACAACAGGACAAAACTGAGGTAACCGACCAAATCAAGAAAGATAATAAGAACATATACGATTCCATCACGCAAACTATTATCCAACACTAATCTCGAAACATCGAAAACAATCCCAATGTACAGAAAATCCGCAAGTCTCTAACCTCGGGTGAAGGAAATTCGGCGTTGAAGACTACAACATGTGGAATGTTCAAGACGGAAGAACTAAACCGCAATGTGCAAAGTCACGTGAATCAATCAATACCAATGAGACGAAGAAGATGTTGCAAATAGATAGAGAGAGATAGAGAGACGATTTATCTGCTTCGTGTGAGCAAATTAAGAAAGCCGTGTAG